TCAAGTATGTGAGGCAGTTCTTGCCTTCTTAGGTGTCCAGAGCAGTGGTTCTGAGCCTTCCCAATGCTGTGACACTTGAATACAACTCCTCATGATGTGGTGACCCCCCCACTGTAAAATTATTTTCATTGCTACCTCATAACTGTAATTTTGCTATTGCTGTGAATTGTATTGTAAATGTCTGTGTTTTTAATGGTCTTTATTCCCTGTGAAAGGGTCATTCAACCTCAAAGGGGTTTTGACCCACGGGCTGAGAACCTCTGGTCTAGATGAACTTTTAGATTCTTTAGGTCATCTTTTCAGGTTCTCAGAACATCATGTCAAGATTTTGATCCAAATTAATTCTTTGCATAGACTCATTGAAGAATATATTGAATATGTTATAATCTCCATTTATTTGATGAACATGTTATGACTTTCTTTTGGCTTTTTGAGATAGTGCCTCTCTACATAGCCCTGGCTGTCCTGGAACTCACTATGTAGTACAAGCTGGCCTCAAACTCACAGAGATCAACCTGCTTTTGCCTCCTGAGTTCTGGGACCAAAGGTGTGCACCACCTTGCCCAGCTGTGTCTTGGTTTTCTTTACAAAGGTCTTGCTTGTCTTTTGTTACCTCTTAGATTTCCTTTCTGCGAAACCTGATTACCATATATGAGGACACTTAGACCACAGAGATAGGTCACACCACAGTTTAGAGCTAACTGGCCTGCCTGAGGCTGCAGCTTTTATAGGAATACCGGATCTCCATTGATAGCATCATTCTCTTTGTATTCATTACTAGTTTACTTTATCATCTAGGCCTGCCTAACATGGAATCCTCTAGTGTTTTTATTTGGGGGAGCTAGAGATGAAGTCTGGTGTCTTACAGGAGCAGGTGCTCTGCTTCTGTGCTCCAGCCGCCGATATTGTAGTGGTTTATGCTTTGTAGGATGAAGTGTGAAGCACATTTGCTTTACAACTGAGGACCCATATACAGTGCAATGACACAGTGCTGTTACATGCAGGACCCTCTGATTGGTCTGTGACCTGTCAGCATGATCCTGCTACCCAGTTGGTTCCATTCCGTACTTAAACAGCACTGTAGGGCAGAATTCCTTACAGTGTGAGCCAGGTACGTCTTCAGGTTGGCTATGAAGAGTTCAGGAAACACCTAACAGGACTTTGGGAGTTTTTGAAGGTATGCTAATAAATTCCCAAAGAGGAAACCTCTTTTCCAAAGAGGAAACTTTTCCAAAGAGGAAAACCTCATTTCCTCAGAGCTCTCTTTCCTGCCTGCTTGTCACGGTGATTTTTATTATTTTAACAATTGTAAAGTCTTTAGTGAAGCATAGTTTCAGTCATAATAAAATGGAAAAGTTACATGCATTTAAAAAACTCATATTCTGCCCAGGCATGGTGGTGCATCCTTTAATCTGAGCACTTAGGAGCCAGAGGGTGGCAGATCTCTTGAGTTCTAGGACAGCCAGGGCTATACAGAGAAACTCTGTCTTTAAAAAAAAAAAAAAAAAAAAAAGCCTTAGCTCTGAGGCTGTTACTGAAGATGTACAGTTTGGTAGTACAGACCATTATGTCATATTCTTCCCTGAGCATCATAAAAACCTTAAGACATTGAAATTGTTGAATGTGCTATACATAATACAGTAGTTCTGAATGGCTCATTGGGGAGATCAAAATACTGCTGCAGGTTTATGTAGGATTGGTTTCATTTTATCATTTAAGTGGAGTTCACTAGTGTATTAGTAAACTCTCCTCATCTCTGTGACAGGAATACCTGACAGAAACCATTTAAGAGAGGAAGTGTTAGTCATGGCTCATGGTTCCAGAGAGTTGCAGTCTGTCAGCCAGGAATGCTCAGCAGTGGGAGCTCCTGGCTGCAGAAGCCCATTTGCATCAGGGCAGGCAGGAAGCAGAGTACAGACAGAGCCAAGTGCTAGCGCTTTCAAAAGCCCAGCCCTAGTCGCCTGCCTCTGCCATCTAGGCCCCAAACTCCAAAGGCTCCACAGCCCCAGAAACAGCACCAGCAGCTGTGAGCCTGAGGGGCAGTTCAGACTCTTCCTTTATGCAGTCATGCTCATTTATATGTTTCAAAGAGGTTAGCGTCCATCGTGTGTTTTCTCATTGCATTGACAAAAATGCCTGGGACAATAAAGGAGGGAGTTGTTTTATTTATTTATTTGAGCTGCATGCTCTTGGGCAGAACATTATTGTGGCAGAAGTGGTATGGCCCTAGTGATCCATTTCTTCCAGGTAGACCCACCCACCTGGCAACCAAGGGTTCACCTTGTGGGAGAACAAAAATCTGAGTGGCTTAGGATAATTAAATTTGGAATGGCTGAGCAAGTGCAAATAATGTGTAGCGTAGGATGTGATTGATACAAGTACTTGAGGTTTCATGAAGCAGCCGCCCAGCATTGTGAGGGTCTTCTACCATGTGTCTCTAGCGTTGGAAGGGATCAGAACTGAAGCCTGTTTATTCTGAATGGAAACCATCTAACCACTTTCTTACTGTATTGTAGCATCAGGGCATGGGTTTATTGTTGTTGAGACAGGTCACACTGTGTGACCCGGCTGGCTCTAACTCTTAGAAATTCTCCTGCCTTTGCCTCCAGGATTAGAGGAGTGAGTCTCAACTCCTGGCTAAGGTTTTGAATGGGAGATACGGCATTTATGGAGTAAAGAGAGAACTGGTTTCATATGTGAACCATATGTGGAAGGACAAGCTGCCGGGACTTGCTTATAGATGGTGGTTACACGTGGAACGGGATAAAGCGTGAATTTGTGTTCATCTCAGCATCAAGGAAGAAAAACAGCTCAAAAAATAGTTTAAGACTGTTAGGACTGAGTCAGCCTCTGAAGATGGTGTCTGTTATCCTCAGATCATCATTATAATGGAATCTAATTATATTAAAGATGTAACACAAGGGCTGAACATTGCTTAGTGGTAGAACACTTGCCCTGCATGGGTGATGTCTTGTGCTCAGTCCCCAGTACCACACACACACAAAAGACCCAAGTTGTAATACAGATAGATTGTCTACTTTAGAAAAGGTAGATCTAGGCCGGGCGTTGGTGGCGCACGCCTTTAATCCCAGCACTCGGGAGGCAGAGGCAGGCGGATCTCTGTGAGTTCGAGGCCAGCCTGGTCTACAGAGCAACGAGTTCCAGGACAGCCTCCAAAGCCACAGAGAAACCCTGTCTCGGAAAAAAAAAAAAGAAAAGGTAGATCTATATTTGAGTGATAAGGGTGCTTTTGAAAAGAAGTCAGTAACTGAGAGAACTGTGGGGATTTTCCATGAGCTGAGAAAGGGTTCTTAGAATCTTTTAAAATGGCTAAACATAATATGTATTCTGAAAAGCTTACCATTGTTAGTTTACAGAACCTTCTAGCTTTTTAAACTAATGAACTTGGTACCAGTGTTAGGAAATGTTACTTATTAATGAAACATGAACCATTTGACTTTAAAAACTCCAAAAGATTTAAGAAAAGACCATTCAGATATCATTGACTTATCGGAGACAGAGCAGGTTCTGCTGCTGAGCATCTGGTGTTCCAGGCTTAGTGAAAGATCCTTATTTAGAAAACAAGGAAGAAATTGAGGAAGACATGTGATGTCAACCACTGGCCCCTCTATGTACTCTCAAACACATGCACACCCACACATGGGGACATAAAGTGTAGACCTGTATTAAAATTTTAATATTTTTGAAGATCTTTTTCATACCTTTATATAAAACAGGTACTGGTTTTAGATGGAAAAATAATTTTATATATTATGAAACTAAATATCGGGTTTTATGTATATGAGCTTAGAAATTTAATCTCAGTAGTTCAAGAGACTTAGACAAGTGAGCTACTGTAAGGTCTCTGTTGACAGATTTGAAAGTCTAGAGTTTAAATGTTGTAATTTTTATGCTAACAACAAAAAGATGTAATATATTTGTTAGGATCAATGTGAAGTACCTTGTTTCTTTGGTTTTTTTTTTTGTTTGTTTGTTTTTTTTTTCGAGACAGGGTTTCTCTATTGTTTTGGAGGCTGTCCTGGAACTCAACTCTGTAGACCAGGCTGGCCTCGAACTCACAGAGATCCGCCTGCCTCTGCCTCCCGAGTGCTGGGATTAAAGGCGTGTGCCACCAACGCCCGGCTTAGTACCTTGTTTCTGTAACAAGCAAAAGGCAGATATCTATTAAGTGCCTTATATGCGCCAGGCTCTATGCCGGGCATTAGAGGGGAGAGAGGAAACAGTAGGCATAATGAGGTAACACTTGGCTCCTGCTTTGGGGGACTTCATGGACTAGGATCATTAAAAATAATAAGATACAATTGCCCTATGATACGAAAAGTACTGCAGCAGAGATACCGGCCTAAAATACTTCAAAAACGGTAGATTAACCAGCCAGTTTAGTTTTAGTTTCTATTGGGAAAACCCCTGGTGAAGGACTTAGGCCAAAATGGAACCAGTAGGTGGAGTCTCCAAATCAGTAATATTGGGGGGGGGGGGAATGGGCCTTCTGGGCTTGGGAACCCAGAACTCTTAGGAGCTGTGGTTTCACCGGGATGGAGAGACGTGCTGTGCTGTGCTGAAAGGTGACTTGGGGTAGACAGCTGTGCTTTGATGTGCTACAGAGGCTTCATTTTCTAATTTATTGAGGAGCTTATTATGGTAGCATTGATTCTTGTAGGAAAGTTTTAACTTTCTAAGTAACTTAGATAATAATCAGAAATGAGTAATTAGTTATGAATGACTATCATGTTCTGACTGAAATCTAGATGAGGGATGATGAGCTTCTGAAGTATTTGAGGTGATCACAAGAAAGGTGTGTGTAATTCAGTAATATTCAGTGATTGGTCCCTATGTGATAGGATAATAGAATCATGGATTTACCCCAATCTCTTAGAGGACTGTACACATGCAAATACCTTCTACAAAATTATATCTAAAAAACACAAAACTAATGTTAAGGTTGGTTTATTCAGAGCTTTTCCCTTTTCTGTTTGTAGATGCTACTTCAAATGAACAACAAGAGCTTTTCTGCCAGAAGCTACAGCAGTGCTGTGTACTGTTTGATTTCATGGACTCTGTTTCTGACTTGAAGAGCAAAGAAATTAAAAGAGCAACATTGAATGAACTGGTTGAGTATGTTTCAACTAATCGTGGTGTAATTGTTGAATCAGCGTATTCTGATATAGTAAAAATGGTAAGCCTCTAGATTTCTATTCCTCAGATTATGTAAGCTCAAGAATCTGAGGTGTATGTATAATAACTAATATACCCAAAAGGATGTTCTTAGAAACGCCCGACTGGAGCTAGGTGTGATGGTGCACACCTTTAATCCCAGCACTCGGGAGGCAGAGGCAGGTGGGTCTCTGAGCTCCTGGCCAGCCTGGTCTACAGAGTGAGTTCGGTATAGTCAGGGCTGCATAGTAAGATTCTGTCTCGAAGGAAAAAAGCCCATTTGAAGGGTTATCTATTTCCTTGATGTGGCCTTGATGTGGAGAAATTAGTAGTTGCAGTGGCTCTTGGATAGTTCAGTTCTTGAACTTAGAAAGATGTAGGTTCAAGCATAAAGTTCTTGTACAGGATTACTAGAGACTAGAGTTCAGTTCCCAGCATCCATATCTGTAGTTACTGCTTGTATGTAACTCCAGCTCCAGGAGGGTGCTTCTGGCCTCTGGCACCTGTACCGAGGTATACATATCTGCACATGAACACATACTTGTAATTAAAACTACAATCTTTTAAATACACACACACACACACACACACACACACACACACACACACACACACACACACACACACACACTCATTTACCCAGATGACAGATGATGTCTGAGTAAGGCGTCACTGGGAATTGTAAAGGGGAAGAAAAGAAAAGATGTGTGAAGACACACATAGGCAGTGGCTAAGGGAGTCAGGGTTAGAAGAAACTCTATATGGGACGTTCTCTTATATTTGTAGATTGTAACATTTTAATATCGCACACACCTTTAAGGAGTTAGATAGCATCTTAATGGTGAAGCTGGAGTTCTGAAGCGCTAACTTGAACACTGACATGATTCCCTAAGTAGGAAATTCTGCACCTGACTTCATCAAGTCAGACAGTGAAATAAAATAGATTTCCTTTATGGTATGTGTATAAGGCACTCTTGAAACAAATGAACTTCATGTTTAGATGCCCAGGGTACCTCATTATAGGCATGTATAGTTGAGTAAGTCAAAAATCCAGGACACTTCTTGCTCTGGACATTTTAGGCAAGGAAATCTCAGCTCGGGAGATACATTGTGGGATCTCTCATGTTGCCATCTTTATTGCAGTAAGGTTTTTTTATTTTGTTAGTTTTTTTGGTTTTTGGTTTTTTGTTTGTTTGGTTCATTGGTTGTTTTTGTTGTTGTTTTGTTTTTTGTTTTTGTTTTTTGAGACAGGGTTTCTCTGTATTGTTTTAGAGACTGTCCTAGAGCTCGCTCTGTAGACCACACTGGCCTCGAATTCACAGAGATCTGCCTGCCTCTGCCTCCTGAGTGCTGGGATTAAAGGCATGTGCCACCAACACCCGGCTGGTTTTTGTTTCTAAGGTTGATGCTGTTAGTAGTTTAAGCTCCTCCTTCAGCAGTGGCAATTGGTTCAGCATTTTTAACTGGCTTTTGTCCCATACTAATGACATGTAAAACTTGTGGGAACATAATTTAAACAACACCCAGACAGAAGGACAACCCTAATGCATGTTCTGGGAGTAGGAAAGACACATTCGACCCTGATAAACTAGTTGGGTTTTCTTTTTATCACAATTGAAGTCCTGTCAAAGGAACTTAGGAATTTGTGTTGTAAATTTAGGTAATTTTTTTTTAAAGATTGGCTATAAAAAGAACATTAACCAGAATAAAACTAGCTTCTGTTTTTATTTATTTACTTGTTTGGTTGGTTGGCTGGTTTTTTGTTTTGTTTTTTGGGACAGGGTTTCTCTTTGTAGCCCTGGCTGTCCTAGAACTCACTCTCTAGAGCAGGCTGGCCTTGAACTAGCAAAGATCTGCCTGCTTCTGCCTCCCGAGTGCTGAGATTAAAGGTGTGCCACCATGCCTGGATGAACTTCCTCTTTTATTTTTACTTTATTATTAAAAATTCAAGAGTAAAGGTTATTTTCTTCTGTTAACTTATTTCCAGTGTTCTTTTGTTGTGGAATCTTGAAGTTCCAATGGAAAATACTCTATAAAGTTGATATATACTAAAAATACTCCAATATTTGCCAGACTCTATAATTTTCTGTATATCATCATGGGATTTACTCTCTTTACTCAAGTGAAAAGATGTGTTTGTTTCACTGTCTTTGTTGTGTAATTTCTGGTGCTAGTTTCTAGGTAATAGTTGGGCCTCCTGATCAGCCTTAGCCCTTTAACATGTTCCTGAGTATTGTGGGTTATTTTATTGGTGTCTGCAGGTTAATTTTTGGTTTTACTGGTGACAATCATGTGGCTTCCTGCTCCTTGTGAAGTTGATGCCCATCAGACTATTAGTGGTTTTACCTTTAAATTTGGTTTTGAGAGCTGGGTGTGGTGACTCACGACGTGAATCCCAACATTCAGGAGGCAGAGGCAGGTGGATCTCTGCATTTGAGGCCAGCCTGGTCTACAGAGAGAGTTCCAGGACAGCCAGGGCCAAACAAAGAAACCCTGTCTCCAATAAATAGACAAACAACAAAATATAGTTTGAGTTGTAACATGGGAAGTTCTAGATAGTTGTGCCATCTGGCTGTTAGGGTTATGGTAATGGTATGGACAGGTATTTGACTGTCCTGAGTGCTACTTTATAAGAATAGCTGGAAAGTTACTTGTATGTTGCTTGTGTTACCTTCTTGCCATAGGTAATTTACTTCAAATAGTCATCTCTTCAACTATAACCCTTCCCTCACTGTCGTCATCCCCTTTATTACTACTACTACTACTACTACTACTACTACTACTACTACTATTACTATTTTGGTTTTTTGAGACAAGGTTTCTCCTTATAACAGTCCTGGCTGTCCTAGAATCAGCTGTGCAGAATAGGCTGGCCTTAAACTCACAGAGATCTGCCTGCCTCTGCCTCCTGAGTTCTAGGATGAAAGGCGTACGCCACCATTGCCCATTTAACTCCCTCATTATAATCATATCCCGTCACTTTAGTCATCTTCACTATAGTCATCCTTTTTTTTAAAGATTTTCATTTATTTATTAATTATGTATACAGCACTCTGCGTCCATGTACACCAGCAGGCCAGAAGAGGGCGCCAGATCTCATTGCAGATGGTTGTGAGCCACCATGTGGTTGCTGGGAATTGAACTCAGGACCTCTTGAAGAGCAGCCAGGGCTCTTAACCTCTGAGCCATCTCTCCAGCCCCCTATAGTCATCCTTTACCATAGTTACATCTGCCACACTGTATTCGTCTTCACTATAGACTTGTCACACTGTAGTTACATCCTGATACTGTAGTCATCTTCACTATAGACTTGTCACACTGTAGTTACATCCTGACACTGTAGTCGTCCTCACTATAGACTTGTCACACTGTAGTTACATCCTGACACTGTAGTCATCCTCACTGTAGACTTGTCACACTGTAGTTACATCCTGATACTGTAGTCATCCTCACTGTAGACTTGTCACACTGTAGTTACATCCTGATACTGTATTCATCCTCACTGTAGACTTGTCACACTGTAGTTACATCCTGACACTGTAGTCATCCTCACTATAGACTTGTCACACTGTAGTTACATCCTGACACTGTAGTCATCCTCACTGTAGACTTGTCACACTGTAGTTACATCCTGATACTGTATTCATCCTCACTATAGACTTGTCACACTGTAGTTACATCCTGACACTGTAGTCATCCTCACTGTAGACTTGTCACACTGTAGTTACATCCTGACACTGTAGTCATCTCACACTAGCTTTCTTAAATGGTTGCTAAACTGTGGTCTATTCTTCTTTCTTAAATGAGGCTGGATGTGGTGGTGCACATAATCCCAGCACTCTGGATGCAGAAGCAGGCAGAGCTCTGTGAGCTTGAGGCCAGCCTGGTCTATAGAGCAAGTTTCAAAATAAGAATTGTGGACTGGGACCACAATGTGGTCTTTGCTGGAGAAAAAAGAATGTGTGTGGTTACCTAGTTCCTGGCTGATACTGATGATGATGCAAAGGAGGACATTGTAAATACCATATTTCACTGACTCTAAAATGAATCTCAGAGCACTTCTTGTTTTAGAGTAGTTTGTGTTTTTAAAGTCTCAAATCTCAAAAGTATTAAAATACAGAGAGTTAAACTATCATTGAAGTTTTATAACAGTAATAACAGGGAAGGTGTTCTTGTTATACGTGCAGAACATGGCTGGGATAGAACATGGAAGGAGTTGTAGAATGATCCAGAATATTTTATTTTTCACTGTTAAATTCAGTTATACAGCAAATAACATGAATCCAAACTTAATTTCTTTCAGATCAGTGCTAACATCTTCCGTACGCTTCCTCCAAGTGATAATCCAGATTTTGATCCAGAAGAGGACGAGCCCACACTGGAGGCCTCCTGGCCTCACATACAGGTAAGGACTGCACACTTGTGTCAGTGATGTTTACATTTCAATATGCTGCTGGTTCTGGGGATCCTTTAAAACACTTGACTTTCAAACTGTCCCTGTTGTCATGGGCCTGTAACCCTTGGGAGGCTGAGACAGGAGCATCATTCGTTCAAGACTCGCTTGAACTTCATAGTAAGAACCCGTCTCCAAAAAATAAAAATGTGGCCACTGGGACGTTGCAGTGGGAGGGGCACGCCCATGCTGTCAAGCCTGCTGAGTGGGCTCAGTCCTAGAACCACAGGGGGGATGAGAGAACAGATCCCTGCAAGTTGTCCTCTGACCTACTACTTTCCTAGTAGGATATTTCATATACACAGAACCATAATGTGTGGCTTTTCATGTCTGGGTTCTTTTACTTAGCATAGTATTTTCAAGGTTTATCCGTGTTGTAGCATAAGTCACTGCTTTTTATGGCTGAATAATACTCTAGTTTATGGATGTATACTGTTTTTTAAAATCCATTTGTCAGTTATTGGATGTTAAAGTTGTTTTACTTTTTTGGCTGTGTCCTAGTTAGGGTTTCTGTTGCTGTGTAGAGACATCATGACCATGGCAACTCTTACAAAGGAAAACATTTAATTGAGGTGGTGGCTTAGGGTTTCAGAGGTTCAGTTCACTGTCCTCATGGTGGGACATGGCGGTGTACAGGTGGACATGGCTGGAGAGGTAGCTGAGGGTTCTGTATCTTGCAGGCAACAGGAAGTAGACTGTGTCACACTGAGCATAGCATGTGCAAAAGAGACCTCTAAGCCTGTCAGCACAGTGACACACCTCCTCTAACAAGGCCAACCCACTCTAACAGAGCCACACCTCCTAATAGTGCCACTGCCTTATGAGCTTATAGGGACCATTTACATGCAAACTACCACAGGCTGTTGTTACAACTAGAGCTGCTCATGCAATCATATGTAAGTTTTACTTATTTCCCATAAGATATGATGATTGTTTTTTATTCATCTAAAATATTTTCTAGTTTCCCACATGGTTTTATTTCACTGTTTAGAGAATATGCATTGTATGATTTTAGTTCTTATAGTTGATGGCAGCATACAGTATGTCCTGGAGAATATTACGTGTGTGTTTATACTTGTCATGGGTCTGTGTGCTGCTGGGCCTAGCTGGTTTATAATGTGCAGTCTGTTACCTCACTGATCTGTCTGTTCATTGAAAGAAAGGTATTGAGTCTCTAGATGTTGAATTGTCTTGGCATTTCTGTGAGTTTTTACTTTGTGTGTTTTGGGACCTGGTTGATAGGTGCATATACATTTATGTTTGTAACTATGTTTCAAACTATGTTATGAAATGTCCTTTGTCCATAGTTTGAAGTTAGGTTGTCTGATATTAGGGTAGCTGTTCCAACTTTAAACTACCGTTTACATGATTATATTCTCCATCCTTTTTGTTTTAACCTCTTCGTTTCTTTGACTCTAAAGTGTGTCTCTTACAATAGCATTTAGTTGGAGGTGCTAGATCTGTTGTTTTAAGTTTTGAGAGAGGATTCTCTCTTATGTAGCCCCTTCTGGCCTGGAACTTACAGAGATCTGCCTGTTTCTGCCTCCCAATGTAGGGATTAAAGGCATCCACCCATGCCTGAATCCTAAATTATAAATGAGCACAAGTTCATCTGGAATTTTCTGCCATACTTGGTATAAATTTAGTGGTACTATTTTTAGTAGTGGAGGTTTTTAAAGCATGAAATTCTCATTAGCTGGTGTTACTCTTTTTTATTATGTGTAGTTGGAAAGTCTTTGGAAGAGACTTTCAGTTTTTGAAATTTTAAAAGCAAAGACAGATTTTTCCATCAGGGTATTTTTATAGACTCATAGAAATTAACACAAGAAATTCAGCCAAGTAAACAATGTGTTTCCATTTTTCACTGGTATAATTTGAAGCTCCAGTTAAATTCCCTGAGATAAAATGGTTCTTAACATTTTAGAAGATGGTAATTGCTATCAAGGTACTATTTCTATGACTGGTAACTTTCTGTGCTTTCACTTATCAGTGCAGATGTGCTGGGCATGGTGACTCAGTCCTTCAATTCCAGCACTCGTGAGTTCGAGGCCAGCCTGGTCTACAGATAAGAAATGTAGAGTAGATCTGGGGACAGCTTCATTTCACAGAAGCATGATCCACTGTGACATTTGGCAGGTTGTCAGTTCTGTAGGCCAGTTGTTTCTTCCACCTGTTTGTAACTCTTTCAGTGTGTATTAAAAACCGTTTTCATCTCCTCGGTACTGCTAACCCAGCTCCTGACAGCAGTCATTTCAATGTGCATTGTTGTCAGGGAAATTATATAGATGAAAATAACTTAAGAAAGTAGGGTCTGGAAAGATGGCTCAGCAGTTAAGAGCTGACCCTGGCCACCCAGGTTTGAGCCCCAGCACAGGACATCAATCACAACTGTAACTCCAGTTCCGGGAGAAATGATGCCCTCTCCTGGCCTCCTTGGGTACTACAAGCATATGGTACACAGGCATGGCAGGCAAATCGCCCACACACTTAAAATAATGCTACAATTAAGAAAAAAGAAGCCGGGGCTAGAGAGATGACTCAGTGGTTCTGGGATCAATTCCCAGCACCACGTGACAGCTCACAACTGTCTGTGGCTCCTGTTCCAGGGACATGAGGCAAAACACCCGTGCACATAAAATAATGATACAAGTAAGAAAGAAACCTTATACTACTTATGAGCAGAATAATGCCCAAAATACATTGGCTTAGGAGTCTGGGGCTTGATGTCATGTGCGTCTGCCGAGGGATATGTTCTTTCCCTGAAGCTATTGGTGGGTGCTTAAGCAGGGCGTGATGGGGATCTGCGTACTCTGCCTTGCATCTTCCCCCTCTCAACACACACATGGGCACTGCTGTAAAAGCCCCCTGCCTGTATCTCCAGATCACAGTGACTGCGAAGCCCAAGCTGCATGTCCCCTCCACAGCTTCTTGTTGACTTCATCCCCACCAGTAGAGCCGTCCGTCTGTCAGATGTCTGTCAGTCTGTGCTGTGACTGTGTCCTGACTGCTCAGCTTAGACGGATGAGCTGGGGAACTGCACGGTGCCTATCCTTGCTACACTGTGTGTAGCCCTCCCAGGGTCCAGGGCAACAGGCACCAAGTACCTACTGTCCGCAAAGCCCCACAGCTGACCCTCACAGCATCAGCTCACGTGTTTCAGCACGCTTGTGCTCCAGAACACAACTCTTTATCATTATGGGCTTTGTTTGTTTTTCTCTGTGTCAGCCTGGCTGTCCTGGAACTCACTCTGTAGACCAGGCTGGGCCTGAACTCACAGAGATCCTCCTGCCTCTGAGTGTTTGCACTACCACCGCCCAGCTATGATTAAAAATAGAAAGACTCTGGCCATGCTTTCTCTTTTTTAACTTTATCATATATTTAAATTAGAAACAATCTTGCTTCACATGTCAGTCCCAGCTCCCTCTCCCTCCATGCCCGTTCCCCAGGGGAGGTATGGCCCTCCATGGGGGATCTCTAGAGTCTGTCATTTTGTTCCGGGGAGGGCCTAGGCTCTCCCCCGTGTGCAGCCATGCTTTCTCTGTGATAGCTGCTGCAATGCTGACTTGTGTCACAGCACTATCACGCAGGTCACACAGTGCTTCTGTTGGCTCTGGTGTACAGCTCGGTTTGTTATTCTCCAGCTGTACTGCTTAGGCCGCCCTAGGGTGAAGTTGAGGTAGGCTGGTAGTACATGGGGGAAGGAGCGTGATCCTGACACCTTAGGGTCATTCTGACTGACTGTGGCTCAGGAGACCCTGCCACTGTGCTGGCCACCATGACCAAGAGTGGTCTGCGAGCAGAGTTGTTTGGCCAACGTGTTCACTTCAGTCTACCAAGGACAGACGTTAGGACTGGAGACGGGAGCTGAGGCAGAAACCACAGAGGAACACTGCTTACTGGTTTGCGTTCTTACACATCCCAGGATCATCTCTCTGCCTCTGGGGGCTGGGCCCTCCCACAGTAATCCAATGGAGGCATTTTTATCAATTGACTTCTCCTTCCCAGATAATTGTAGCTTGTCTCAAGTTGATAAAAAGCCAGTCAGGACAAAAGCCAAACTATAAAGACAAAGGTTTGGTTTTTTTTTTAACTTTGTTTTTTAGAAACAATTACCAACTCAAGCTGACAACAGAGGTGTGTTTTTACTGGTGTTATTCAGAGTATTATTTTATCGGCATTATTTTGCTTTTACTTTCTTACACAGCTGGTATATGAATTCTTCTTGAGATTCTTGGAGAGCCCTGACTTCCAGCCCAGCATTGCAAAGCGATACATTGATCAGAAGTTTGTGCAACAGGTAAGGGATTCCTGGATCTCAGATCTTCATGTCTTAGCACTTGCTTATTAAGATGAATCATTCAAAACATAAATAACTTAAAAGTCCTTAGCAATTGTTCTTGACAAGCAAAATAAGAGCAGCTTTGAGGGGGTGGCAAGATGCCTCGGGTCAAAGGCCTTCCTGCTTTCCACAGGCTCTGTGTTCCAGTCTCACACCACGTCAGGCCCCTCACAAAAGCCTGCTAACTCCAGCTCCAGAGTAGCAGTGGTCTTCTGACCTGCACAGGTCACACTTTTTTTTAAAGTAGCTTTCAGAAGTTAAGAGTTTTATATCATGGGCGAGCACCAAATGATACACCTTTGTGCAGTTCCTTAAAAGTTTGGGGTGACCATTTCTCTAAGGGTAAAACTTCTGTTTAAAATGTGTAAATCTTTGAACTCAGGCACTCAGAAAACTGGACTTTTCTTGGGTGTGAGGGAAAAGCTGGTACGGTGGGAACCATTTTCTACCTCTACCCAAAACTGTCTGGGAAGCCAGGGCAATAATCTGATTCCAACTGTTCCATGTACTGCCCACAGCTGCCTCTGGGGAACTAGGGGTTGCTTCTGTAAACTGCCCTATGAAAATTCTCAGCTTTGGAAAGTTTGAAAACTCAGAATAGGTGAGTTGTGGGGGGCGGGGCACAGGACCCTGCATAATTTAAATTTATGTTCAAATCAGAGAATCTCCAAAGAAAACTAAGATGTTTTCATTGTTTTTTGTGACTTGGAACTTGTCATTTGAATATGTTATAGAGAGCCCACATCCAGTGCCACACAGCTAGTAAATGGCAGAGTCTGGATTTGAACTAGAGTAGTGGTTCTCAACCTTCCTAGTGCTGCGACTGTTTAATACAGTTTCCCATGTTGTGCTGACTCCCAACCATAGAATTATTTCATTGCGCTGGGCGTTGGTGGCACACGCCTTTAATCCCAGCACTCGAGAGGCAGAGGCAGGCGGATCTCTGTGAGTTCGAGGCCAGCCTGGTCTACAAAGTGAGTTCCAGGACAGCCTCCAAAGCTACAGAGAAACCCTGTCTCGAAAAACCAAAAAAAAAAAAAAAAATTATTTCATTGCTGCTTCATAACTGTAATATTGCTACTATTATGAATCACAATGTAAGTAGTATACAGTACATCTGATATGAGACCTCAAGGGTATCATGACCCATGGGTTGAGAATTGCTGAACTAGACTCTCTGACCTTGATTGAATTACTCTTAAAAAAATAGTTGAGGATAACAGAGCCAGAAAAAGCAAGTTTCCTGATATGAATATGACATTTCTAATTAGGTTTATTTAGTTGTAATATTTCAACATGTCTAGCTAACAAGTACCCTCAGATTTAGTATTTCCCTTAGAGATAAATCTACTTTGAATAAAATCATCTTTCAAGTAAACCAACATCAGAAACAGGAATTTAAGGTTAAAATGAGAGGTTTAGCCATTTTTAACTATAATAACTTGGATCCGTGCTTCTGTTCCATAGGTATTTCTGGCTGTAGCCTCACGTAGTACTGTAACCTAGCAAAAAATGAGTACACGTGAGTGGGACTTACCACTCCCTCAGACATTCTGCTTGGGTTTGAAATCTGCACATAATCCAAGACAAAATGGTGGGGCCCAGAGCTTGTCACCTGTGCTGTAACTACTCAGCATCACGGTTCAAACATGAGGTTCCATGCAGTTTGATAGACCATGTGTGTTTGCATATGGCTTGCTGTCTGAGACAGTCTTACCACTACGTAGATCAGGCTGGCCTTCCGGGACCAGAAAGATTCCAAGTTCAACCAGCCTGGCCACTTAACAGGTCACTGTCTCAAAAAAACATGAAAAATCTCTCAAATTATCACACTAAAAATTAGGTTAGGAAAGAATTTTTAAAATGATACAACAGCTGTATAAAGATGAATTTAGTAAAAATATTCATGCTTTTCTTGGTTTACTTAGAGATAAAAATCTGCTAAGGCTATTTAGGAAAATGTTAAAGATTTCATTAGTTATAAAAAGAGCAGTTTTAGGGGCTGGAGAGATGGCTCAGAGGTTAAGAGCACTGGCTGCTCTTCCAGAGGTCCTGAGTTCAATTCCCAGTAACCACATGGTGGCTCACAATCATCTGTAATGAGACCTGGTGCCCTCTTCTGGCCTGGAGGGATATATGCAGGCAGAACACTGTATACATAATATATTTTTTTAAAGAGCACTTTTAGCTCGATTATTTTTTTAAAGTAATTTGTCAGATTTTCTTTAAAGCTCCTGGAGCTTTTTGATAGTGAAGATCCGAGAGAACGTGACTTCCTGAAGACAGTCCTGCATCGAATTTATGGGAAGTTCCTCGGGCTGAGAGCCTTCATCAGGAAGCAGATTAACAACATCTTCCTCAGGTAAACTTACCATGTAGAGCATTCTCCCCTCAAGCCTTCTTTTAACCAAGCACCTGTACTGAGTTTGTATCTGAAACCTGACCTAGCTGGGGCGTTCCAGTCATTCCTACCCGTTTTGTGGTTCTCACTTGTGACAGTTTAACATTTTAAAAGCAGTGGTAATGAGGACAGTGTTTGATGAATGAATTTGCTGAGAAACTTTCTATTAAGTCAACACTTGTAATAAAAGTGTTTTCTTTTGATTTTTCTGACAAAGCTAGTTAAAATCCATGTGGGACTACGGCTTAAACATTTGCTTCACATTCCTGTGTTTCAGGATTATTCTTCTTGTCTCAGTTAATTGAAGACAAGAATTAGGCTAGCATTGGAGACGCATGGTGACTTCCCCATCTTACAATCTAGGAAAATTCTGAGCATTGAAAAAGTGAACCCTTTTTCCTGGGATAGCCATGTGAGTGGTGGTTTCCTAACTTGAGAAGGTCTCTTTGAGCATTCCGTCCTTACATATTAAGTCAAATATAACAGCCCAGAGGAAAGGACACTGTTATTCTCAAGTGACAAATTTTAGCAGAGGTTTATGTGACTGGAGGAAATCATCAAAAGGTCAAGATTGACTGCACATAGCAAGCTTGAAGCCAGTGTGGGATTCTTGGGACTGAGAGAGTGGAGTGAACAACACACCTAAGGGCGGGGCAGTCCCCGAGAAACCGCCGCCACTGCTGCCCGTGGCTCGCTCTCTTCACCATGTTTACATTTTACCACGTTACATTTTACCACGTCTGTCCTTTCTTCAAACTCAGGTTTATATATGAAACGGAACATTTCAATGGTGTGGCTGAACTCCTTGAGATATTAGGAAGGTAAGTATGGGGTTGTGTTTTAAGAATTAAGTTACTGAATGTTTTATGTGCAAAACGAGTACAGTTTAGAGCACAATGCTAGAGGCCCTGGTCCAGCCCCCAGCAACAGAGCCTAAGACAGTTTCTGTGTAAGGCCTTGGGTCTCCGCAGCCCTTTCCCTTTGGAGCTGTGTTGCACACACCACAGATAGTTTCAGTCTCCAGCTGGAAGGGATACAAGTTGTCATTTCATCAGACATTCACTACAAGAGGTCTTGCCCAGCTGCTGATAGAAAGGAAGAGCCTAAGAGTCTTTAGTCTTTGGTTTTATGTATACATTTCCTTTCTGTTCACTACACAGAAGTAATGATAGAATCCATTCCAGGTCATTCAAAACTGTAGGAGACACTCCCCACTTAGAACATGTTGGAAATTCTAATAGCAGGTTCTGTCCTGTTGCTTTTGGAAGGAGAAATAAGCATAGCGATTATGTAGATGACAGTTACACACCGCCCCACAGGAGCAGAGCCCAGCGGCAGCCTGCCTTCCACTCCAGCAGTGAAACAGATGCCCTCCCTCATGTGCAGACACTGCAGCTTTCGTAGTCAGTGACAACTTAACCCTCCCCTGCCTTTTCTTCCTCCAGTATCATCAATGGCTTTGCATTGCCGCTGAAAGCAGAACATAAGCAATTTCTAATGAAGGTTCTTATTCCTATGCATACTGCAAAGGGACTGGCTTTGTTTCATGCTCAGGTAAGACTCACAAGTGTGGCAGGTGATGTCAATACTTAATATAAAGGCGAAGAATGAGAGAGATGAAGATATTAGTGTTGTGTCTCAACTAAGGAATTTGGCAAATTTTATAAGTTTGTGTACTACTAGTGCAGTTGTAAGTAGACATAGAAGTTTAGCTGGGTGGTGGTGGTGCACACCTTTAATCCCAGCACTCAGGAGGCAGAGGCAGGCAGATCTCTGTGAGTTCGAGGCCAGCCTGGTCTACAGAGCAAGTTCCAGGACAGCCAGAGCTACACAGAGAAACCCCATCTCGAAAAAACATATAAGTTTACCTATGCTCAGTCCAGGACTTAAACTACTTGTTGCGTGACCCTGAATGAATGTTATGCATCAAACCCTGAGGACTTGTTAGAAAGGTCTTGGTCACTGCTAACCTAGACCAGTGGTTCTCAACCTCCCTAATGCTTTTAGTACAGTGCCTCGTGTTGTGCTGACCACAACAATGAAATGATTTGCATTGCTACTGTAGTGAAGTGCCATTTTGTTTAAATGTGAAAATAGCCCGTTTCACTGATGTCTGCTAAACGTGTCTCTGCCCTTCAGCTGGCGTACTGCGTCGTGCAGTTCCTGGAGAAAGACACCACGCTGACAGAGCCTGTAAGTGTCCAGTTCCCTCTCATGCGCTTGTCTGTCACACAGTCGGAGCCGCTTGGGGGGAAGGGGGAGATGCTCACGAGGAGCTGAGTGGACTGATAGTTCAGGGTGTGTGGCACGGTCCAGAGACCGCAGTGAGCAGTCAGCATCCTCACTGCAGTCTGTTTCTGTCACTTTCTCCAACAAAACGCACCCAATCCCAGAGCCATCCCCCTGAATTTATGTTCAGAAGTAAAACACAGGATCGTTTCCTCGCCGTTGGCAGCTTGGATTACAGTCTTAGAATATATTTGCCCATAAGATGACCATTCAGGAGAGAGTGAAGAGATAATCAGTTATCAAGAAAATGGTTGAGCTAGGGTGAAGACAGCAGGCACAGAAGCATGGTAACTGTAGCTTCAGCCCTGGTTGATCTGGAACACCGTTTATATCCTACACTGCCTTCCAGCTTGCTGTGATCCTCCTGCCTCAGCCCCCTGAATGCTGACCATATAAACCATTGCAACCTTAAGTAAAATGAGTGTTCCAGTAGAATGCTTTGTAAGCATTTAACTACAAATACTGGAGGATTAAAATCCAACCATTTTAGGCTAACCCTAGGGGTGCATGTTATTCATCTTTCACTTGAAAAATAATTAATGTCACAGCTGAAAACAAACTTTAAAGTGAGAATTAGAAAAAGCACTCTAATGAGATTAACTCATGATGGCTCACACCTAGTAAACACAAAACATAACTTAATGTGTTGTGAATAAAGATTAAGGAGAGTGCTTAAGGTTATATAGTTCTGTTTGTTTTTCCTTTTAAGCTGTTGAGTTGAACCACCCTGGCATTTCTAGTATTAGTGCACTACTGGATTAGTAAAATTTCTTTAACTGTTTGTTGAAATATATGGTCCCCTTTTGATATTTTATACCTTCATTTTGTCAGCCCAGAAATAATTTGGGAACCCTGACTTTCAGACTGTGTACTGTATAAGTTTAGATAATGGGAAATTGTCTGTTCTTTAAGATTACCTCACAGAGCTATGGCTTGAACTCAGGTACTGTGCTGGCAACCTCATAGTGGAAGGCAGAGACAGACGATCAGAAATCCAAGGTCACTACGTTACAGTCCTGGAAAAAAATTTCTTATTGTAAAATAACCTCCTTCCCCCATCAGGTTGCATTTCATTTTCTCGTGTTATAATTGACCACGTATGTTGGTCTCCTTCCAGAGTGTAGGTAGAGACTCCATCATGTCCCAGGCCCTCGGTGTGTGTTTATTTGTTGAATTAGACAAAGTGTGAAGCCGAGTAGGGATTCTCACGTACTTAGTGCTGAATGCTCTACTTCTGGATGAGGAGATACCCTGACATTAATTAGCTAGTAGGGGTGAGACAGGCTCTTGCTGTATTCCTGGCCCTGTGACCCCCAGTGCTGGGATTACAGACATTCATCACCACACCTGACTGCTCAGTCCATTCTAAACTTGTTGTTTCTTGTAGGTGATCAGAGGACTGCTGAAATTTTGGCCAAAAACATGCAGTCAGAAAGAGGTGGGTTTTAATAAATGCATTTTAGTCAGACTTTGCAGTCTTGCTCTGGTCCCGAGTGGGAGGAGCAGGGAGGCAGCGCAACCCTGAACAGTGCCCATGTCCTAAGTGCATGTGTGGCTTGTCTGTACAGCTTCTAAATTTAACATCATCTGTTATAAAATTTAACAGATTTTTTTTAAATCTAGGTGATGTTTTTAGGAGAAATTGAAGAAATCTTAGATGTCATTGAACCAACACAATTCAAAAAAATTGAAGAGCCACTTTTTAAGCAAATATCCAAGTGTGTCTCCAGTTCTCATTTTCAGGTACCGTCTCCCTTCCTTGGTGACATCATGACTTTGTACCATCCTTTTTCCCTGTAAATGTTGACATTTCTGCTATCTTTTGTAGGTTGCAGAAAGAGCACTGTACTTCTGGAATAATGAATATATCCTTAGTTTGATTGAAGAAAATATTGATAAAATTCTGCCAATTATGTTTGCCAGTCTGTATAAAATTTCCAAAGAACACTGGAATCAGTAAGTTTTCGTTTTGTCTTTTTCACCTTTTGAAACCTGTACCGCAGGCTAATGTCACAGTTTTAGATATTAAAGCTGTAGGTGGGTGTCCCTCAGCAAATGGACCAGTGCCCCTGCGGAAACAGTGTGGATGAGCTGCACCTGGCCTTCCCCACCTAGGAGCTGAAGACTCTCTATCAGCTGTGACATTTTTGTCTTGCTACTACCCAGGGTTTCAGATGAGACACATTATACCCTGCATTCTTCCCACCAGCCCAGTCCCTGAGCTATGCCGGTCCCAAACGAACACGCAGGATACATATAAAGCTGTTGACTGTTTGCTATGGTTTATTGGCTAGCTCTGACTTAACTATCTTACTGAGAATGCCAGACTTGTATTCTCTCCTCCCAGGATCATGTGGCAACTCCTTCCTGACTCCATTTCCCAGAATCCTCCTCAACTCCTAGTCCCACCTATGTTGCTTCCCTATTTGCCAACAGTTTTATTCATCAACCAATCAGACAACACATGTACAGAAGGACTCCCCCATCAACACATGCACAGAAGGGCTCCCCCATCAACACATGAAGAAGAGAACCAGAGTATTCTTAGCTCTAGCCCTCAGCATAACACGGGAAGGATGTAAGCTTTGGAGTCGGGTTATACATGCACATCTGGCTTGTGTGGTCAGAGTTGTGTCATCTGAAGTTAGTCACGTGGTCAGCTGACACCAGCCCAATTCAGAGATGAAAGTGTTACGTTTCCCAGCTGCTGGCCTCTAACCCAGAACTGGCTTCTTCCCGCCAGGACCATTGTGGCACTTGTGTACAACGTGCTGAAAACCCTGATGGAGATGAATGGCAAGCTCTTCGACGACCTCACTAGTTCCTACAAAGCTGAGAGACAGAGGTACTCAAGACGCTTGTAACTCTGTTTACAAAGGTCTATCTCTTCGTTGTAGGAGCGATGGTGAATACATTGGGCATTACAATTTGAAAGCCTCTGACAGTAAAGCCATTGCCCAGTAAAGTAATCCTGGTATTTTAAGTTTGTTAAGGGTGACATGATTTTCCCTCACTAATGGTTAGATTGTGGTCTGTTGATCTCATGTTGAACCTTAAGCTAGTAGCATGTACACTGTAATTTACACTGACCGTTTCATTCACACTGGCTTCCCTGACAGTTTGGCAGTTCCAGTGCTGTGGCTTATAGCAAGTGTCACTGAGGTCAGCATACAGTCACAGTTGTGGCTTAGGGTGACCGTTACCTGGTACTGCAGCCTTAGGAGCATGCCTTAGTGACTACTGCCTCATCATACAAGGTGGGCAGTAACTACTCCATCCATCAAGGCTGTCACCGGCTATTGTGTTTACATAGAAAAGATCAGCCCTCTCACCGGGCATAATGGGTCAGCCTTTAATCCCAGGCAGATCTCTGTGACTCTGAGCATAGGACTATGTAGTTGAGACCCTCTGTCAAACAAATAAACCCCCAAAAAGTTTAGATAGAATTAGGAAGTGTGAGCCCACAAAGCAACAGGTAGAAAGGTGAATAGGAAACCATAGATTGGTCACATGCTGTCAGAGTAAGTCATCAAATTCTTTAAAACAAGCTGGAGAAATGAAAACCCATATTTACATGTTTATAGCCTGCAGCCAAATTGAACATACACTTACCAGCGGGTTGAAGCTTGCCATTCTGTAGGCATGGGGGAGGGGGGAGCTTCCGCTTGTCCCTCCAAGTATTACTGTAGCTGACCTAGAGCCACTCGAGTGACTATGGCGAGTTAATCCCATGTGTGGTCACACAGGCCACAGGAGGGTGACAAAAAATGAGGTGTTCTACATTTCCCATTATCTGCCATGAGTGACTTCCTTGAGCTTCTGATTAAAACCGTTGATTTCTCCTCAGAGAGAAAAAGAAAGAATTGGAACGTGAAGAATTATGGAAAAAATTAGAAGAGCTGAAGCTGAAGAAGGCTCTGGAAAAACAGAACAGTGCTTACACCATGCACGATATTCTCGGCTGCAACGCAAGTGCCAGATAAAGAGCAGCTCCCACCGCTGCCAGGCGGGCAGCTCCGTACACAAGATCTTCAAAGCAAACCTCATCAGTATAATATAATTAGGAGGCCGGTTTTTCCTGGCAAGCGTAAGGAAAGAAATAGGGACTAAACATAGCCCTGTGCTGTATCATGGCCACAGTATATTGTAACCTTTGTCTAATCATCGACTGTGTCACTTTGTCATCTGTTGTGAGTGAGGCGATTGTGGGAGTGGTGAGAATCAGGACTTGAACTCCCGACTGTGCTGCACACAGGTCAGGTCGTCCTCTGTGCTGCACACTGGTCAGGTCATCACATCTGTAAGGTAAACTGAGGTGTTGTCCTCCCCTCGCCTCTCCTAGAGCTGGTGGGATGAAAGCGCAGCTTCTTTAAAGACACTGCCACACTCTGGGATTCACAGCACCTGACGTTTCCAGGCGTCTGAAGCACAAGGTATTAAAGCTGAGGGAACTGTCCCCAGACACCTTCAGCAGCAGCACCCGGAGCGAGTGGATCCTAGCTCACCTCTCCTTCATTCCTGTCCTCTCCAAGGCTGGAGGCAGGGCCTTCCCGCAGGGTGCAGTGACACAGCCCGCTAGCTGTCACCGCCTGGCTTTAGGAGATGTCTGGTGTGTTCTTTCCTGGTCAGGTGTTTGTCCCATGTTATCTGTACCATTCCAGCCTCCTGCCTCGCCACTGTATGGAAACTGTTTTATAGCAGAAGCTCTGCACCAGGGATTGAGCACCATTTAATAAAGTCTATGTTTGTATTTTGCCTTATGTCATCTGCTCTTTCATATCTGGGAAACAGTTACAGAAAATCACACCTTGTGGACATGTTCTAATTAAAATTAGGATGCTTGTGATCCGTGGATTAGTAATCTAGCCATTTATTGAAACGTAACCATTTAAAGAATCTTTTATAAAATCTCAACCTTCATGTCCCTGTATTCTAGGACAGGTTTAACATTTAAGCTAGTTTTAATTAAAACGGAGAAGAGGGGGAACTCATAATCTACAACAGCAGCAGTTCTGTGAAGGGCTGGTAGATTGTAATGTGGTTTCAACTAAACATCAGTTGAAACTGAGCACGGGAGTCTTGCTGCTCTGAGAGCAACCTCCAATGACCCTAGAAAGGCCTTCCTTGCAGTACAGTGGCTTGTATTTTTTTTTGCCACATTTTCAAGTGGGAAACTTTACAGGGCCACTATTCCTTCCAGTCACACAAGCTGCCCACTTCAGGCCCCTGTGCTGCTCACTGCTGGGACAGCCCCTGCACAAAACACAGGCTTGCCTTCCCAGAAAGTGAAGTTGGATTTTCAGTCAGTAGACAAAGAATACTTCTCTAATCATCTAAAGCAAATGCGACAGCTCAGCTCTTCACAGTACAGGAACGCAAAGCTCTAGTGTTACTGAGGCCAACATCATTTAACTATCGAAGTGATGAGCCTCTTACGAGTCTGGTAACAAGGGCCCCGCATGTATTCTTGCCCCTAGAGATGAAGTCTTTAGTTTGTTTTTCATGTTAATGTGTTTATGTGTGGCATTTGTACTACAATGGTATTCATTTTTTAAAAATTAGTCTAAAAAAATCTAAACTCTTGTACATCTATGAAACAGAAAGGTAGCAGGGAATATTTCACTATACAAGTTTATTTCTAGGGATTCAGCCAAAACAGTTTCTTGCTGCTAAATTTGGAGACAAAAAAAATGCCTTCCTTATACACATGAGCAAGTTCCCTTCTGATTCCCCAAGGCCTAATTGTGAATTCTTTGAACGTTACCATAGTCCCTCTGGGTCACACACTTTGGGAAAGGCAGGGCTTGGGTTTCTATGAGTGCTTGGGTTTCTATGAGTGCTATCTGTCAAAGCCTTGAAGGCCACCCTGTGAGGTGTCTCTGTAGGACACAGTGACAAACGGAGCAGCCTGTTCACAGTGTGCCACGCCCACCTTCCTGGTCATCTACATCCGAGAGCTTACCTTCCCTGGAAGCAGGGGTGACATCCCTCGCGTCAGAGCCATCGTGGTCCAGTCTAGATTCACTACCATAGCAGGGGCAAGTCCAGGATTGGTGCCTGTTGGCTTACTGGGTATTCACCCTCATTCCTTTTGAATTAGCCCAACTTTATTTACCTGTTAATGAAATCAAGGTACACTAAGTAGGTGCCTTCTAAATACATCTGCGCTAGCGCTTCCAGCAGTGACCACTGAGCTCACACCATTGTCCACACGGTCCATCAGGAATGTAATTGCTAGTTTCTAGTAGCCTTTAAAAGTCTCTTGTAAGGCTGGCCGCGGTGGTACAGGCTTTTATTCCCAGCAATGGGGAAGCAGAGGCAGGCCTGGTCTACACAGTGAGTTCCACTGGGGCTGCATTTAAAATAAAAAAGTCATCTAGGAGCTGACAAATTCTTGTTAAGTAACAACAGTGGATGGTGTAAAAGTCATGAGGAATTTTGTATACAGGGCATACCTGTCCACTTAAAAAAAAAAAACCATAGGGTAAAGAGGGAGCCTTAACGTGGAGCTCAACTATTTAATGGACAAATAGGAAGAAGCTGCCTTCCACAACCCCTTCTCCAAGGCACTAGACAGCTCTGTAAATGTCTTAATAATTTAAGGATTTAAATAAGTTTTAGGTTATCCTCTGGGTGTTGGCCTGAGGGCTCAGAGCAGCCTTCTTCTGGTCTGACCATCAGTTTGAAAGACTGCCCTTCCCTGCAAGGTCCCTTCAAGTGAGTACAGGATTGCTGGCGGCTCGGTTTGTCAACGGGAGATGAGGCCTCCGTCGGTTCGGAGCGCTGTGACACGCGGCTTCAGCTTATGTGGTTTGTTGCCTGGCCCCTTCTTTTTAGGTATCGCTTCCGGATTTTGATCATCCACTTCACACTCAGTTTGGCAAACTCGGCGGCCTTGAATAGAGCGAGGAAAGCCCCGCACAGGAGTGCGATGGTGTTCCAGGGATTGGCCGTGATTATCTGTGGAGCAGAAACAACAAAAACAGGGTTGGTTGGTTTGCATCGACTTTTGACTCTGTGTCTTGGATTTTGGAGCCACAGAGACATGTGTGTTCTGTTCATCCTCACTCAATGGCAGCTGGTCGGGAGGGAACGATGAGCCCTGCCACATAACGAAGTAACTGGGAGGAGATCCTTCTCAGAACTGTACAAGTAAGACGTTTGGACTCCGCTTTAATCTGGTGGCATGGTCCTACAAGTGACTCAGATTTCCCCAATGTCTTCTCATCTCAGTTCCCTGTTTCCAGCTGTGTCTCCCACACTCACCATGTGGACTCTGCCACCAGGCCTCTGCTCCTTCCTTCCTTCCTTCCCCTGCTGGGGTGTTGACCTGCCTGGACTTAATAACCCTCCCAACTCAGCACTTTCTCCAGCCACTCAGCCAAAACCTTTCTTTTGCCAAAGTTGTTTATCCCCCAGAGCCCTGTTGACAGCTGCTTGCTGTCTAGCAATGATTTAAAGCAATAGCTTTGTCCCCAGTAAATGCTCTCTTACCCCTAGGCAGTGCTAAGATGGACTTGGCCTTGCGCGCGCTGGACAAGCACGCTTCTGTGGAGTCATCTCCCGTTTTGGAAGTCCCGTGTGCGGCTTTAGAGCAAGCGCTTGTAAGCTTGGTTCAGTGGCATGGTCTAAGACAGGATGAACCCCTGTTCTCCTATGTGCAGTGTCTGCCTTCAGGACGTTGGTGTACACACCTTACACACACAGCCATAAACTAGCTCCTTTCACCCTCGCTGTCTTAGCCTCAAGCCTTCACCCCTCACACAGAGGCTGGTCCAATCTTCAGAGTCATGGGTGATAGCAAAAGAAATCCATTTCACCCACTCCATCCTGGGATCTGAAGTGTCCACGTGTGAGCTTTGGACTCTCTTCCCTGTTGCCCTGACCATCTCGAGACCTCTTGTGATAAGAGGAAGACACTTTTAGCATACTTACATCCTGGACCTTCTGGATGAAGGGGTCTTTCCATTCGAAGACCACAAAGAACAACTGAGTGCTCTTTTCGGCAGCCGGCCTCTGGTCAATATAATTAACCACGCTGGTCTAGGGCAGGACAGACACAATTAGCACTTCTGGACCCAGGGAGTAGGAGCGGAAGGGACTCAGCCATTGGCTCTCCTAACAGCATCTTCTGGAGAAGGAGAGTCAAGACTCCTATACAAGACCTTCTCGGAGGTACAAGAGCCAGCTGGGGCTTTACGGTTCTTAGGGAGAGAAAAGATTGCAATGCCTGATAGTGTTTTGAATTGTTACCAAAATCTGCCATCAGATGTCGAGACTCACAATTAAGTCTTATTCCCAAAATTTCCCATATTCCCAAATTTCAAAGTACTTGGGTCTTAAGAGAGAAGCAGTCTAACGCTTCAGGTCTCTCTGAATACTTAGTAGGCATACATGATACGATCAGGCAATCAACTGTGAAAGAAACGTGTGAAACAGGCTTCAAAGGCTCAGGTCACCTCTGATCTGATGCTCACACCGGCTACAGGAAGACAATGCTGAGGTTTGCAGGGCTGCCAGTGAGGTGACGATGGGACATCCCAGGCCCTGTGGGACTGGGCAGTCATCTCACAATAGCATTTTGTAGTCTTGTTTTCAGGCTTCGTCACCACCTCAGGCAGGAAACAGCCCGCCCCTTGACTACACCTAGGTGCCAGGGTCCCACATCCAGAGAGAGGACACGGCAAAAAGCCACTGCTTGTGAGGCAAAAAGCCACTGCTTGTGATAAGACAGGCTCCCGAGGAAGCAAGCAGATCCCTTTCCATCACACAGCCGTCCCTCTTCTGTCTTCCCCAGTTCTTCCCAGATCACAGCAATCCTCCTGCCTCAACACCCAGCATGCTCCCGGCTAAGGCCATCTCCTCCTCCTGCATCCCGACAGGTCATCAAACCCACACTGTGCCTGGTCCCCTCACCCACCGTGACCCCTGGCAGCATCAGGAAGTGCTCCCGGTGTCTATAGGCACAGAGATGGTTTTGTGGAGAACAAGCAAGTTGCTGTGGGCTGCCTTCAGCAGGGAAGCCTTCACAAGGGCTACTAAAGATACCCTCATCCTAGGACCCCACCCAAAAGACCCTTCCCCTCAAAGTCTCCCTCTGCCGCAGACTCAATTGTGGAAATCATCACGCATGCCAAGGAAACAGCTGCTACCTCTTGCCGGAACTCAACGGCTTCACGCCCGTCCTCCTCTTTGGTCTTCACCAATGACATCTTGACCCAGGTGCGGAAGCCTCCTGAGAACTTCCAGCTGGAGTAGGCGCTCTCACAGGCCTGCATGAAGCCCGCCTTGTCTGGACTTGGGGGGGGGGGGGGAGAGAGAGGGAAGGTCCAGGTTAATCCAGGCCTGACAGCTGGAAGATAGATGGGGGGGGCTCGTTGGGGAGAATAAGGGTTCCAGTGGGGGAGAGGGGAGGGTGGGGGTGAAAATGACTGAAATGTGTCATAAAAACAAAAGCAACACCCTTAACTAAAGGGTGACAGGCCCCCGATGGCTTCCGGGACAGAAGCAGGTTATCAGCAGGGGAGGTGCTGGCTAGGGGACGCTGAGGCCGGGACTGGGAGACCCAGGGCGGGAAGGACAGCAGAGGCATCAGGCGATCCTGTTCAGGTGGATGGTCACCTCCCTGCCTACATCCTCGAAATGATGGAGCCTCAGCTCGGCCAGACTAGGCAGGCACGGACAGGAGCACTCCTGTTTTCTGCTAAGTGTTTTAGTCCCCAGAGACTGAATGGGCCCCAGGGTTTGGAAACGGCGGGAGCCGTCAGTGGGCAGGGATCTGCAGGCACAAGGCTCCCGGGCCACAGGAAGGGAGCCCCCTCGGGGCACACTGCAGCAAAGGCAAGCAACCCTGCGCCCACCCTGCGGTCAAAGTCGTGGGCCACCAGGCTCCTGAGGGCGCTCCTGCTGAGCCAGGCCGCTCCCCTCCCCCACCTCCCCCCCTGAAAGGCCACCTTCGCATGAACTCCTGGAAGGAGGAGAAGAGCAGGTAGTCGATGGCACTGAAGTCCTCGTCGCTCTGGTTCAGGCGGAACTGGAGGAACACCAGCTCTCGCTTCTTCACTTCCTGTGGGCCCTGGACGATCAGGGCGGACTGCTGCAGGGGACAAAAGCCGGAGCCTCAGTGCTCGGAGCTGCACGGTGCTCACACAGACCCACGGGGGTTTCGGCCACAAGCACTGCCCAGGGAAGGGTGCAAGCTGGCCAGGGGGACTTTTCAGAGAAGCACAGTGCCCGGGGCCCAGCTGAGCGTGACACACACTGTCCCCTTCCACAGGCTGCCCACGCTGTGGAACACATGTGCTCTTGCCTGTTATGTGCTGGTGCGTCCCGGTTAGCCTCGTTTACCACGTCATCTACCCCATGGGAGATTCCGATTGGGTACAGTGAGCGAAGGCTGCCCGCCTTGTTCTTATGCCTTCTGGGTTGGCTGGCGAAGGTACAGCCAATGCTTCAACATCCCCAGTCCACGCCCGTCATGTTTTAAAGCTTACATATATATACCACACATGCCCGGCTTTAGTTTTGTGACACTGTGGGCAGCCGGCTTCTTGCCTTCCTGAATGCAGCCCAGGAGTGCTCTGGTCTGTCCCCGAGCCAGGACTGTGCTGCCAATGGCATCACCCTGTTCAGGAAGGGGACCATGGCCTGGGCCGGCCCCTCCCACATCCTCCTCGTTTCTGTCTTCTAGATGTTCTTTAAAACCAGCTGGCAATGCCCAATGCAACTCGGCAGGGTGTTTCACCGAGACAGAACTGAACTGATGGAGTGACTGAGAAGATTATCCCGCCCTCCCCCGCCTCGCACCCAGGGAGCAGGCACGTGCTCACAGCTGACCACGCCAGTATGGACAGGACAACGGCGCAGGGAGCAACCCTGCAGGCAACCCCATGAAGTCGTCATCGTGTGACCCTGCCTGCCAGTGCGGCTGCTCCGTCAGGAGGCGCGTTCCCACACGGGAGCTAAGCCTGCACTCTGACCGGCACACTTGGCCAGATGGGTGTCCCGGGAGCTAGAAAAGTCCAAGAGTCAGCGTGAGCTTCACCTGTGGGTGGTAGGAGAACCGGGCAGTGAGGAGACCAGAAAGGGGGGTGGTCAGGAGAAGCACCGTGAAGTCCAGAGCACAGGAAACCCGGCCACAGAGAACCACCGTGAAGTCCAGAGCACAGGAAACACGGCCACAGAGAACCACCCTGAAGTCCAGAGCACAGGAAACACGGCCACAGAGAACCACCCTGAAGTCCAGAACACAGGAAACCCGGCCACAGAGAACCACCGTGAAGTCCAGAACACAGGAAACCCGGCCACAGAGAACCACCGTGAAGTCCAGAACACAGGAAACCCGGCCACAGAGAACCACCGTGAAGTCCAGAACACAGGAAACCCGGCCACAGAGAACCACCGTGAAGTCCAGAACACAGGAAACCCAGCCACAGAGAACCACAGTGAAGTCCAGAACACAGGAAACCCAGCCACAGGAAAACCACCCTGAAGTCCAGAACACAGGAAATGCAGGCCACAGAGAACCACCCTGAAGTCCAGAACACAGGAAACCCAGCCACAGAGAACCACCCTGAAGTCCAGAGCACAGGAAACACCGGCCACAGAGAACCACCGTGAAGTCCAGAACACAGGAAATGCAGGCCACAGAGAACCACCCTGAAGTCCAGAACACAGGAAATGCAGGCCACAGAGAACCACCCTGAAGTCCAGAACACAGGAAACGCGGGCCACAGGAGAACCACCGTGAAGTCCAGAGCACAGGAAACACGGCCACAGAGAACCACCGTGAAGTCCAGAACACAGGAAACCCAGCCACAGAGAACCACTGTGAAGTCCAGAACACAGGAAACACCGGCCACAGAGAACCACCGTGAAGTCCAGAGCACAGGAAACCCAGCCACAGAGAACCACCGTGAAGTCCAGAGCACAGGAAACCCAGCCACAGAGAACCACCGTGAAGTCCAGAACACAGGAAATGCAGGCCACAGGAGAACCACCGTGAAGTCCAGAGCACAGGAAACACTGGCTAGAACCACCGTGAAGTCCAGAACACAGGAAATGCAGGCCACAGGAGAACCACCGTGAAGTCCAGAGCACAGGAAACCCAGCCACAGAGAACCACCGTGAAGTCCAGAGCACAGGAAACCAGGAAGCTAACAAAAACCCGAAGACCTAGGCAGCGTGATCCGACAAGACCCTCAGTGGGGGTCACTGTCACAACTCTCGGTGGCCTCAGTCAGGCAGAGCCTGCCCACTAACAGCTCACTGCAGGGAGAACAGGCCACCACCTCCCAGCCCTCGGTGGCCACCACCAAGGCCACAGGGCAGCTGTGAACATTCGAGTCATCCCTTGCCACGCGGGCCCTGGGTGGCCGTGAAGACTCCGGTCATCCTCAGCACATGGACACTGGTACATCTTACTCTGCCCTGTTCCTTTTTCTGAGACGGAGTCTCACTGTGACCCTCAAAACGTCTTCCTGCCTCAGCTTCCCAAGTGTCCCAATGCTGGGTGCACACCAGTCTCCTTGTTACACCATTACGTGCTGGTTTTTGTGCAGAGAGCAGGTGACCAGGGAGGAGGAAATGTCGTCGAGGTTCCCGGCTGTGGCTGGAAGGTGTTGATAAAGGTAACTAGCCATCCCTCGGAACGGGAGAGGTGGTAACTGTGTCAGCTTCCCATGAAGACACCTTACTTTTGTGCCCCTTACTTCACGGGTTTTATGTTTAAATTGTGAGTTACCATAGCGGTGTGATGGTCTTGAGTATAAGCAATGCCCCCAGGAAGCATGCCAGTCCACAGGGGAGAGAGCAGCGGTTCCCAGAACAGGCACAGCCGCACCCAGCGCCACCCACCGTGCTTCTCAGAGGGAACGAGGAGAGGCGGGGTCCACATGCTGCTTCCCTGGCTGTGGTCTCCCTCTTCCTGACCGGATTCTGCTGGTTCATTTCAGTTCATTATTTTACGTTGACTTTGTGGAAATGTCCAGTGACACCAGTTGTCCATTCTCAGGAGTACAGGACTCAGGTGCCTAACACTCTCCACCCATGGGAGCACACTGCACCATACACCAACCCCTCCAGCCTTCTGGTCTACCAGAGTCAGGGCTGTCCTCATGCCCTGTCCTATCCTGTTTTACAGGGAGTAGAGATCATTTCGTGCGGCTTCAGGAGGTGGCCTGGGAACACTCAGCCCGAGCGTCAGGGCAGTCCCCTCATCTCTAACGTGAGGAGGTTCCTCTCACCCAAAGGGGTAGGACGGGCCCCACAGCACGACACACCCACTCACTGTCCCTGGCTTCTGTCCCCAGCCACGTCTCACTCGCAGACCCCTGCAAGGCCCTGTAAACCACCCCCACCACCCCTGCCCAGATGCACAGGCGGCTCTCAGGATCACCACGGTCAGGGTCTCAGTCACTGTTCCGCTGCTGTGGAGAGACAGCATGACCAAGGCAACTCTTTTGTAAAAGCAAAGCATTTGTGACTCTTATAAAAAGAAAGCGGGGGGGGGTGTTTGCCTTCAGCTTCAGAGGGTGAGTCCACTGTCGTCGTGGCGGGGAGCACAGCACCACACAGGCAGACATGGTGCTGGGGTGTGTGTGTGTGTGTGTGTGTGAGAGAGACAGACAGACAGACAGACAGACAGACAGAGGGAGAGAGCATGCATGCAAGCCACTGGGCCTGGCCTGGGCTTTTGAAACCTTAACGCCCGCCCCCAGTGGCACACTTCCTCCAGCAAGGCCACACCTCCTAATCCTTCCCAAACGGTTCCACTAACTGGCGACCAAGCATTCAAATCTAGGGCCTACGGGGACGCTCTCATTCAGACCGCCGCTCTCATAGGCCCCTCTGTCCTCCTGAAGGAGGAAGAGAGCCAAGACATAACAATGCCAGGTCACGTCCCTGCCCAGGAACACTGCGTGGTCACCAGCTGAGCCCTGCTCTGTGATGGACGTGGGGTGTCAGCAGTGCACCGTCTTCCCTCTGGCAAATTCCTCAACCCCGCCCACAGGAATGGTGATGACAACTGGAAGCTGGCGTTTTCAGTGACACAGACAGCCCCAGGCAGGCCCACCAGCAGCCCTGCCACCTTCCCATCAGCAGGGAGCCCTTAGGGTTATCAGTCCCAGAGGCACACACCCCTCAAGCCTCTCGCCTGCCAAGGACGAGGGCCCATGCCTACGAGCTGAGCTGTAAGGAGACTGTGATTGATCCCTAGGGGATGCGGCCAGGAGAACACCAGGGAAACCGGCATTACCATAGTATGATTGGAGAAGGGATGCGTGTAATTGATCCTCTGGGTGGTGCAGTTCCTGTCTCCGGGCTGGCCAGAGCTGGCAAGAGGTGGGATGACCTCATAGTGGTGCTTACAGCTGAGCAGCTGAGCCTGACCAGGGTACAGGGCAATTCCTGCAACAAACAGAAACCACCGGCGGGTGTCAGAAGTCACAGCCCTGGGCACGCCGCCTCACCCCACGCCGACCTCCTTCAGAAAAGGGCCCAGGCAGCGACCGCAGATGTGTGGAGCCACGGGCCTGGCCCTGCTCCAATGGAATGTGGCTTCCAGGGCTCCAATGCTCCCGCCAGAGCACCCCATGGCACAGCACCGCCGCCCAGGCCCCGGCTGCCTGGTGCTGTGAAGGCTCTGGGCTGCAGGGGTCCCCAGAGCGCATTTTCCTGCTCTGTCAGGAGCTCCAAGAAACACACACCACAGAGCATCCTGTCCACGCTCAGCTGAGGCTGCCAGGCTGGGACTCAGAGCAGAAAGGACCACGACAGATGGAGGCAGAGCTGAGGGGTAAGAAGAGTAAACACTGACAGAAAGGCCCTCAGAGGCCCTACACACAGCAAAGCCCGGGCAAGAAGCAAATAGGCAGGCCCGGCTGCAGGGTGAAGTCTGGGAGCTCCTGGCGGTGACGGACACACACACACACACACACACACACACACACACACACACACACACACACACACACACACACACACACCTCTGGCTCTAGCCTGTGGGCAGGATGTCCTGGTGTCACACTCGGGGCCAGAGCAAGGGGCACACTCACAGTGTCACTCGGCACATTCCTTCCCTAAGGCAACAGATCACCCACTACGGCAGAAAACGTCCTTGGGGATCAGTCAACCCAACTTGCAGAGACAGGGACACAAGCAGCCTGGAGCCCTGGAGCCTAGGCCCTATCTGAGTGTATACCCCTGTAACCCTGAGTGTGAGCCCCTGTAACCCTGAGTGTGAGCCCCTGTAACCCCGAGTGTGAGCCCCTGTAACCCCGAGTGTGAGCCCCTGTAACCCCGAGTGTGAGCCCCTGTAACTCCGAGTGTGAACCCCTCTAACCCCGAGTGTGAACCCCTCTAACCCCGAGTGTGAACCCCTCCAACCCCGAGTGTGAACACCTCCAACCCCGAGTGTGAACCCCTCCAACCCCGAGTGTGAACCCCTCCAACCCCGAGTGTGAACACCTCCAACCCCGAGTGTGAACCCCTCTAACCCCGAGTGTGAACCCCTCTAACCCCGAGTGTGAACCCCTCTAACCCCGAGTGTGAACCCCTCTAACCCCGAGTGTGAACACCTGTAACCCTGAGTGTGAGCCCCTGTAACCCTGAGTGTGAGCCCCTCTAACCCCGAGTGTGAACCCCTCTAACCCTGAGTGTGAACACCTCTAGCCCTGAGTGTGAACACCTCTAACCCTGCCTGTGCTACTCTGGATAAGAACGGCCCCATGGGCTCCTGGTCCCCAGTCGGTAGACCGGCTTGGGAAGGATCAGGGGCTGGAGGAGGCGTGTCACTAAGGGCGGGCTTGAGGTTTCAAAGGACGGATGCCGCTCCCAGCATGCTCTCTTCTGCCTCCCGCTCTCCACTCCAGCTGTGCGATCCCAGCTGTTCCTGCCTCTGCTCCGGCCATGATAGCCTCTAACCCTCTGTAACTGTGCGCCAACCAAGTGCTTTCTTTTATAAGTTGCCTTGGCCGTGCTGTTTTGTTAGGACAGTGGGAAAGTAATTAACACACTGCTCTTTCTCCCTGGCCTTCAGCTCAGCCAGAGTTCTCGCCTCTCTCCCGAGAGGCCCACGGCCTCCCTATACACACCCAGGGCCCTGCTCCTCCTCCTAACAAAGCCTGGCTCTCGTGCAAACTCCCCTGCCCGCCCAGGGTCTGGCACTGGCTCTCAGCCGTCTGCCCCACTCTGCCAGTGCCGGGAACACAGTGGTGGCTCAGGGGGGCAACGCTTGCTAAGCAAAACCCCAGAGCCGGAGTGCGGCTGCCCCGCCCAGGTGGAGTGGAGTGCAGCTGCCCCGCCCAGCAGCCCTACCTGGAGCATCATAGCGGTCCACCTCCTTGTAAGACACGGACATGACTGGGTGCTTGAGCTTTTCTCTGAAGTCAGTGATGGTCTGGTAGACCAGGAAGACAGCCACAGCCATGAGCAGCAGGTAGATGAAGATGAGCAGGACGGAGAAGACGTTCTTCAGGCAGGCCTTGCTGAAGCGGAGGCTGCTGGAGGCGGACTCGCTGTCGACGCCTGCGGACAGGGCAGCAGAGTCAGCAGGGCAGCCAGCAATGGTCTGCTTCCTCCAGGCCCTCACCTACCGCACGGAGGCGGCGAGGACACCCTCATCGCAAAGGAACATCAACTCTATACCTCCCTCCCGGCCAAGGCCACCAACGTTACCAAGGTAACTGTCTGCAGGAGCTGGTGGTCTCAGTCAGTCAGGCCCACATCCCCCCCCCACTTAACAACGTCCCCGTCTTTCAATCCTGGAGCTGCTCATATCTGCTGTTCCTAGGCCTATTCTGAAGCACTGTTCATAACCACCCTACCCTGTTTTCACCTAAAAATGTCCTTTCCCAAGGAAACCTTCCCTCGGTGGCTAATCTGACTGGGTCTCCATGCGGAGCAATGCACTCAAGTCCCTCTGCTATGTGACACATGATGGGGAAGTCCTGTGTGTATGTCAATAAAGCACTGTTGGCCAATAGGGAGGCAAGATAGGTGGGACTAGGAGTCGAGGAGGATTCTGGGAAACAGACACAGGCAGTCATGATGTAGCCGCCATAGGAGTTAGAGGTCTGGACCCTTTTCTCCAGTAAGAGAAATACTTAGATTAACAATTATGGGTTAAATACTTAAGTCAGAGCTAGCCAGTAAGAAACCAAGCAAACGGCCAACAGCATCATAATTAATACAGTGTCTTGTGTGTTATTTGGGAGTTCAGACATCGAGGCAGGGCCCAAGCGGCTGGCGCGGGGGGGACACGGACGGACGACTATACTCAACAGATACAGGTGCCATACAACCAGCCTGCCCAGAGACCAGCACCACAGCGCCTTGACCTCGGACAAGGGCACCACCAGGGGTGTGTGTGTGTGTGTGTGTGTGTGTGTGTGTGTGTGTGTGTGTGTGTGTGTGTGTGTGTGTGTGTGTGTGTGTGTGTGTGTGTGTGTGTGTGTGTGTGTGTGTGTGTGTGTGTGTGTGTGTGTGTGTGTGTTTCCCTGATAAGAACCACATGGGACAGTGCTTGCTTGCTATGGCAGCCTGGTTCGCCTTCCTATGGTGCTTCCGCCCTTCAGCTCCCTGAGGGAAAAGGGTCAGCTGTCCCTGTGGCTGTGGGCTTCCAAGTGTCGTGGTCACACCATCTGCCTCAGATGACGGACATAAGATCTGAACAGTGTGATGAAATTTAATGAAGGCTTCGAAGAACGGGCAAACGCCGGCTGACGGTGGGAGGGTACCGACCCCTGGAGAGAAGAATGGCCCCGTGGAGACTCACAAGTGCCTGCCTTCTTTCCTGAAGGTTTCTAACAACCCCCTAATGACCTGGTTCAGGGCTGAAAGAGAAGGGGAGGATCCCGAAAGTAGGCGGGTCCCAGAAAGGTGAGATCGCTAATTATGCAAATGGCTGGAGATCCCAAGGGCTGGGGGAGCAGAGCTGAAGAATGAGGAGAAATGGGCGATCCCAGCTGCTACCACAGAAGTCAGTCAAACCTCAGAGCTGCCGCCTTGCCTACTACCTACCTGCTGAGACGAAAGTCCTCCAGACCCCCAGCAGAGTCCAGGACCTACAGCTGTGACAGCTGCCCCCCCCCATCTGCCCAGGAGATGCACCTCTGGAGACCAGGGCTTTCCAGAGAGGACTCAGGTGGGAGGACTTCAGAGGGAGGGATGACCTGCAGTAAAGTGAGCACCATCTGCATGAGCATGGTCAGCCCCTGCTAAAGCCTAACTCCAGTTCCCCAGACCTTCCAGACTGCCAGCAGCTCTCCTGGAGGCTTCTAGGCACCTAACAAGGCCAGCAGCTCTCCTGAAGGCTTCTAGGCACCTAACAAGGCCAGCAGCTCTCCTGGGGGCTTCTAGGGACCTAACAAGGGGAGGGGGGACATGACATGACAAGACACTGGATGGGACACGACCAGGATGGATGACACTGCAGAAACACCAAGCTCTGTGACTAAGCAGCTACCAGGTTCTCTGCCTCTCTGGCAAGCAGACAGACACGGCTGGACTTTATCGTGTAAGCCAGTCTAACAAATGCTCTTTGATACGCACACACACACACACACATGCAAGCACGCACTCTGTTAGTTCTGCTCACCTAGGAGAACATGCCTAATACATCGATGTTCAATTAAAAATTACCAGACATGAGATGGCTCAGCAGTTAAGAGCACTGACTGCTCTTACAACAGCCTGGGTCCAACTCCTAGTACTGACGTACAAAGGCTTCGGGGGCCCAAACAGACATGACAAAGAGAGATCTCCACCACATCATGTTAAGCGCAGACATGAGTAGGTGACATCCACACCACGGAACTGTTTGGGCCAGAAGCACAGGGGCAATTATGTGACACAAAGTATCAGCTTCCAAAATCCAAGACCTCTATCTTTGGGGATGTGTGCCCTACGTGCTGGTGCCTGCAAAGACCAGAAGAAGGCGTTCAATCTCCCAGAGTTACGAGTTATAGTGACACGGGTACCGGGAAACACACTCAGGCCCTCTGCAAATTGTAAGTGGGAAGAAATGAAAGCCAGGAGGAGCCTATGAGGTGGCCCAATTCTGTAACCCAAGCAGCCAGAGAGCCAAGAACCAGGAGCTCTCGGGACCAGCCTGGACTTGTGACCCAGTGTCCAAAAAGGAGCCCCCAATAGCAAGTATCTACATCAACACAGGGAACACAGGGCTGCAGGGACACGGGCCCTGTCTCCACCATGAAGGCCAGATCCTGACCCCACAGAGGAAGCCAGACTGAGGGGACAGGGGTGGAGAGTCGCTGGGGCTTTGCTGCCTTCTGGCCTAAGCCAAGAAACATGAGTTCCCGGCTCCAGGGGAGACCCCGCCTCAAAGAAACAGATGACAGATGGTTGTGGTACAGGGGGACATGCTATGCCCTCTTCCGGCCCACATGCAGGCATAAGGGAACACATCACACACAGTAACGATGGCAAGGGCTGCGGAGCGGCTCAGGAGTTACAACGCGCTTGCCGTTCCAGAGGACCCAGGTTCAACTCCCAGCACTTCAAATGATGCGCAACTGCCTGCAACTCCAGCTCCAGGGGATCCAATGCCCTCTGCCAGCCTCCACGGGCAGCTTCTCACATACGTATGCATATACAAAGAGAAACCCTGTCTCAACTCTCCCCCCCCCCACCGAAACAATAAATAAATCTCCAAACACACTTAAAAATTTTTTTAAAAAACCCCAAATAGGCAACTTTGTTTTTCAAGACAGGGTCTTTCTGTGTGGTCCTGACTGTCCTGGCACTCGCTCTGTAGACCAGGCTGGCCTGACTCACGGAGATCCACCTGCCTCTGCCTCCCGAGTGCTGGGAGTAAAGGCGTGCGCCACCACTGCCTGGTGCAAATAAGCAACTTAATGCTGCGCCTCAAGGAGCCAAGTCCAGGGTCTGGGGGGTGGCCCGGCGATCAGAGCACTTGTTGCGCCTGCAGAGGATGAACTGATCGCCAGCATCCACCGGAAGGGCAGACAACCTCCTGTACCTCCAGCCCGACACCCTCTTCCAGCTCCCTCAGGCACCCACACACACATGCACACACCCTCACACAGACACAGGCGTGCACACACCCTCACACAGACACAGGCGTGCACAGCCACACAAAAATAAAAATTTAGGTCGATGGAACAGCAGATTTCTTTTTGAAAAATTAGGAACTAAATCCAAAGTTAGGAAAAGAGTTAACAGAGATCAGGGAATATGTAAATAGAGGCTAACGAAATGAAGGGCAGTGTTCAGGGATGTCACCGGTCACAACTGTGATCCCAGTGCTCCGGAGGTGCAACAGGAAGACAGGGAGTTAAGGCCACCCTCCCCTACATAACAAGGACAGCCTGAGATGCATCAGACCCTCAAAATAAAATAAAATAAAAACATGAAGAAAGAGGAGGGATATTACGAGATTCAGGGATGCACCAATGTACCTGGAGAAGACGGAATCAGGTCTTGTCACAAAAGCCAAGAGCAGAAACCAATCTGTGGGCCCGCGGCTGGCAGAAGGCTCAGCCAATCACACAGGCGGATCCGAGCCCAAGCCTAGGACTGTAAATGTAAAACAGCCACGTCTGGAGGGTCACGCTTGTAAACCCAGAGTGGAGGGTTGAGAAGGTGTCTCTGCCTACACAATGAATTCTAGGCCAGTGAGAGACCTTGTCTCAAAAAAAGGCACAGCAGAGACAGGCCTGGCAGGGATCCTCAGTGGCCCAGAAGACCCGATCATGGCAAGTCAAGTCTGGGAGTTCGGAGATTTAAGAATGACCACACAAGGCAAGTTGCCTCCTGGTGCAGATCCTCCGTGGCTGGAAATGGAAACTGGGTCACAAGTTGTTGGGTCACTGTCTCGTGAGCAGATCAATTACAAGATAACGATCTAGAAGTTCCCTGGCAGTTGATGGCTCCCTGCCTCGCGGAGTAAACTTCAATAAGAGAACGACAGTGGACATCCCATATATTTATGCAGATAAACCACAATCTTGGTCACGGTAGGATTACAAGTTCCAGCCATCCTCAGAGAGAGTTCAGCCTGGGCTACGTGAGACCTTATCTAAACAGGAAGTCTGACTCCTTTCATTTGTGACGTGGACGGACCTAGGAACAGACACAGGCCCAGAAAGGCAAACACACGAGCTCACTCACGTGGAAATGGCGGGCCTCGCTAGAGGGGGAAGAACAGTGTGTGCCAGGCATAGGGAGGGGAGCACGGCAGCCGTGAGCCCTCGGGGACTCAGACACAGGAGCCCGGAGCCGTGTTAGCGGTGGTGAGCCACATATTTCAAAATAACCACAAGAGATGTTCAATGCCCTTACCACAAAAGCGTGGCAAATGTATGAGACGGTGATTAATTACCACGGTGGAATCGTCACAGAATGTACACAGGTTCTGAACTATCACAAGTGAACCTCGCAAATATGGACAACCGTGTGTCACTTTAAAAATAAGCCGGACCAGGGAGACAGCTTCATGAACAAAGACGCTTGGTCAAGCCCAGCAGCCTGAGTTCAGTTCCTGGAACCCGCATAGTGGAAGGTGCGACTCCACAAAGTTGTCCCCTGACCTCTGCGATGCCCACCCTCACCCTCCCTCACACAAAATAGAGGTCAAAAAAAATCCACCACCAGTCAGTCAACAGGGGTCAGAGTGCCCGCGTCTGTTTCCACGCATCACCCAGCCTGAGTGAGTCTGCAGCCCCTATCCACAAAATGAGGGCACCACCTTGCAGAGTTCTTGTGAGAATGAAATGGGGGAGCTAACTGGGGGTGGCAGAGCCTGGCATTCCAGAGAAGTGGGAAACAGTAGCTGCTTTGCCTTCCTCCTTGGTCCCCTCTAAGCAATGAGCAGAATCACAGGACTTCCTCTCCCCACAGACAGAGGAACCAAAGAACAGGACCCACCTCCCAGCTTACTCGAGGAGCTAGAACCAGGCAGGGGCTCCGTCCACCCACTCACCCACTCACTCACCCACTCACTCACTCACTCACTCACTCACTCACTCATTCACTCATTCACTCTCTCATTCACTCTCTCATTCACTCACTCACTCACTCACTCACTCACCCACCCACCCACCCTGACTAGCCAAGGCTAAGGTGAACAGCAGACACTGGTGACAGACAGACCAACCTCCCCTCCAACGGCAATACTGCAGGGACGGGAGTGCGGAGGACAGGGACAGTATTGGAGGGTAGGATGTGATCCCTGTCGGTGGGGAGTCAAGGAATGATTGGGCACTAACTAGGAGAGGAAGTTAAGCGCTCACCCCCACAAGCCTGGCAACCTGAGCTCACCCACTGGAGCCCACGTTAAAGGTGGATGCTGAGAACCAGATCCACAGAGTTGTCCTCTGACCTCCAAGTGTGTGTGCACACACACACACACACACTCACGCGCACACGCCATGGCTGGCCTTCATGCCCTCACACACACATCATGTGCTGCCCCCACCGACGATAACTTAAACTTTAAAGGGGGGGCTGGAGATGTGGCTCAGCGGCTAAGCGCACTGGCTGCTCTTACAGAGGACCCGGGTCCCCCTTTCCTCGTCAGGCGCTCACGCCACCTCAACCCCAGTTCTTCTCACTCCCTTACGTGCGTGCGTGGCGCACACTTACACAGATGCAAACGTAAGCAAAAACAAGTCTTTTAAAAGGGAGGCTGGGAACCTCAGAAAGAGGAAGAAAACAACAAAGGTGGCCTCTGCGGGGCGGACGGGCTTGAGGACACAGAGGCCGGGTTCTATGAAGCCACTGGGCTAAGGATGGAGCTAAGCCCAAGTAGAGTTTGAAACAAGGGCCCTGGTGAGCTCACCCACCAGGTAGCAGTTCCAGAGAGGCCTCACAGGAGCCCTTCTCCTACAGGGCTCTGAGACACGATCAGGACATTAGAGCCCCTCAACGCTGGCCAGCCCCTCCTCAGGGAAGAGGGACGGCCTGCCCTCGGGAACTAGCTCAAACCCACCCTCAAGAATGCAGGCACACATCCTCCATCCAGAGGCTGATTAAGTATGTAGCACTTTAGAACAGGGGCAGACCTTGAGAGCCAACACCAGGGTACAAGTGTGGGGGAGAGGAGGCCGCCGCTCCCTCAGCTGGCAGGGCGCCTGGACGGGGCCTCCGGCAGCGGTGGTGGCGGCGGCGGCGGGGGCCAATGTCCGGCACCCTAAACCCACTTACCTGGCAAGACCCCTGGACCTTGGACTTGGCCTGGCTCCTTGTCTCGCTCGTCCGCCTGCTCCGAGTTCTCAACGACCTGGTCCAACTCCTCGCTCAGCTAAAGGAGGAGAAACAAGAGTTAGCGGCTCAGCTGAGGCAGCCTTGCCTTTTCGAGGCTAAGAAAAAAAAAAAAAAAGCAGAAGCTGCCATTCACATAATTGTTACACTTGCACAAAGACCACATGACACGGATGTGTGAGAATGTCTCCACTGTCTTCTCTCACAGCCTGAGCCTAGGAAACTAAAGTTTTCAGCAGGGCTGGCTCCCTCCGAGGTGTGAGGGAGACACGTTCCCAGCCTCTCTCCTAGCTTCTGGTGACAGCCAGCGACCCTTGGCATTCTGATGTCCAACCACTGCCTCCACCGTCACAAGACCCCCACGCAGTGTGTGCCCCCCTGGGGGCGCATCTTTAAGGATACTCAAACACGTTGCACTTGGGGCCCGGTACAACCTTGTCTTTGTGCGACACACCTGAGTGACTATTTCCAATTCCAAAAGGGACAAGAACTGGAGTTACACGCCCACGTCTCCCACTGGGAAACGCCAGCCCACAGCCACAGAGTCAGTCAGTGGAGCAGGAGTCACGCCACCTTGGTCTAGTTCCAAAGCCCACGGTCTTAACCACTTCCCAGAGGAAGAGGAAATGTGGCCTAGAGTGTGTTCAGAGAGAAACGAGAACAACGAAGCTGGGTGTCAGCGTTCCGGGGGACGCGAAAGCCCACAGATGTGGGTGCGAATGTCAGAACAGGGTGAGGCATGTCCAGGTGACAAGCATCAATAGCAGCAGGGTACCGGGCAACCCCATCAGCGCCCTCACCTGACCTGCCTGCCAGAGGGGGGAAATCTTGGCATCGAGAAAGCAGAGATTAGGGTAAGCGTCCTATCTCTTCAGGAAGGAGGCAGGTGAAGTCAGTTTGGAGAGATTCCACCCAGCTGGGAGGGACAATAGCTTTTCCCAGGCTTCAACATGTGATCAAGTGAAGTTACGAGACACCCCCCCCCCCAGACTGGTCTCATGTAACCCAGGCTGGCTTCCAACTCACTACGGTGGAGAATGAGCTTGAATTTCTGACTCTTCTATGTCCACCTACTATGTGCTGGGTTTAAACACTAACCAAGTGCTGCAACAACTCAGCTACGAACACCCCCAGCCCTCGGGGGTCTTTCAAATTCACCCCAGATGATTTAAGTTAAAGACTCAAGAGAGACAATGGTCCCAGGAAGATTGGAACTCCTGAGAGCCAAACCTGGCCCAAGTCACCTTGACCCAGGCCTGGCGACAACACCAGCACCCCCCCACACACACACACACAACTCCCCGTCCTGGCACACAGCAGCCACCAGAAGCCCTTGCCTGTCCCCTCCCAAACTTCTCAGAGTGCCCCCAATCCTGGAGCTCCAAAACCTCCCCTCGGCAGTCAGGTTGACTCTCACAACCAACCCAGGCGAGAAGGACGCAGGCCAATCTCTAGGTGGTCTTCCTGGGACTTCAAAACAGACCAGAAGAAGGTAAAGGCCTTCTAGAGCTTTCCACCCGTTGGGCATGACTCCAGCGAACACACGATTCCACCTGTCTGTGGCCTTGCTCTGCAAGCAGAACAGCAGCCTGTGCTTCAATAAATTATCTTCTAACCCCGGCTAAGAAGATACCCGCCGTGTGTGTGGCTGGACCGCGGTCCTCTGAAGCCAAGACCGCCAAGCTCCCCAGAAGCAGGACTTGACCACTGCATCCTGGTGTTATTCACCCGGGGTCACTAACTCCACCGGGCGCTGAGCTCAGCACTGGGCCAACGCGTTTGGAGCCCGTGAGTTTCCAGGGTGGCCAGGACCTCCGTGGGTGGAGATGGCCACAGAAGAGCCCAGCTGCTGAGCTGCGGAAACCGGCTGAGAAGCTTGGGCTGCTCCGGTTGGACAAGGTCTAACGGTGCGGGGCGGCCGCACCGCCTCGAGCAGACCCGGAGGAGAGTGGCGGCAGACGGCCTAGGATGCGGCGCCGCGGGGAAGACTCCCAGGGCACGGCCTGGGGCAGCCCCTCGCCGGAGGAGCGCAAGGGGCCCTGGGCGAGCGCGGCGCTGCAAGGGGCAGCCCGATGCTCGGGCGACAGACAAAGAGCTGCAGGGGTCGTGGGGCCGTGGAGGCGACGGGGGAGCCGCGGGGGAGCGGCCGGCCGCGCGCTTCCCCCACGGTCAGAGCCTGGAGTGCCCGTCGCGGGGACCATGCAGCGGCTCCACCTGCTGCAGAGCCCGCACGCCACGGAGTGCCAATCATCCACCTGCGCGGGGGCCGCGGTGCCCCGCCCGCCCCCGCGCCCACCCGGCCCGCACCTCCTGGTAGGATGTGGAGAGGTCCGGTCGGATCATGGCCCTAGCCCGCTGCGGCTCACCCGGGGCCGCGACGCCGCGGCGGAGGAGCGCGCTCTGAGACGTGCCCGCTCCACTAAACCAGCTCCGCTCGCGTCTACCGCCCGGGAGACCAGGCGTGGCGGCGCCCGGCGCACGCGCGCCTCCTGCTGCCGCCGGGCCCGCGCGGGCGACGCCGGGAGTTGTAGTTCTGTGTGCCGGGAGCGGCTGCGAGGAGAACCAGTTGGGCTCAGCCTCCTGCCACAGAGGAAAGGACGAGTCTTACACTTCCTCTCTTTGTCAGACAGAGGAACCGGGTGCCCGAGTGCAGCGTGGCACGGGGTCCAGGTCATCTGGGTCGGAGCGCCCAGGAACGGGAAGAGGAAACTTGGCCTTGTGGTTTATAATGGGAATAAATGTCCAGACAGCCCTGTGTTACTAAGCTCTCCTTGCGCTTATATGTCTTGATCCCTCCAGGCATCCTGCAACAGGAACATTTTTCTTACAGATTGGGGAAATTGAGGCGCTGGAGATACCTTGTACCAGGAAGGATAAGGAGAGGTGGTGACCACGAAGTTAATTTCATCTGGGAGAGGACCAAGAAAATTCTGAAGGGGGTGGAAGGAGACGGTGTCTCCCTTTGTAGCTCAAGCTGGCCTCGAATTCATAGGCAGCAAGTGTGTCTCAGCTTCCCAAGTCCTAGGATTACACCTTTCTCCAAGTCATATAATCTTTATTCTTTTTTAAGATTTATTTATTTATGGTGTGTGTGTGTGTGCATGTACATGCGTGGGCGCTCGCAACTGTACGTCCTGTGTGCAGGTGACCTTGGAGGCCAGAGGGCATCACACACACCCCAGCCTCCTATGTGGTGCTGGGAACCAGACCCAGGTCCTTCCTCTGCAGGAGTAACAAGTGCTTCTAACCGCTTAGCCATCACTTCAGCGGGTTCCTTCATCCTCAGGCTGCACACTTGGAAGCCTGGCTCTGTCCACCCCCCCCCCCGCCCCCGCCCACGATCCTCGCCGTGTTCTGAGCCCTCCTTTGGTCTACCTCTACAGCCAACACAACCGTTTCACAGTACCTCGTAAGAAGCAAAAAGGGTCATTCGGCTAACACCCACGTACCTGTCCAGCCTGGAGCCACAAGCTGTGGCTGTGGGGAGAATGGAATGTCTGTGCTGTGGCGGGGTGCCCTCGGGGGACCACATCCTCCTCCTCCTCTCACTGCCTAGAGCCACTCAGCTGTGAAGCAGACAGAGGCTGCGTATTAAACCTCAGCGAGGGAGCACGGCTCTGTGCCCCTGCAGCTGCAGCTTGGCTCCGAACCTGCTCATGACACTTGACTCCTTCCCCGCTAGGCGGCAAGCTTAGTGGCGCCAACCACCTCGGGGCAGCCTGGGTGGAACTCTGGAAACACTTGTCTTTGGAAGGTCTTACGTCTCAAGGCGCTGACCAGCGGTAGCTGGAAGTGCCCCCAGACGAGTGTGAGCAGCAGCGGGTGGCTCCCTCTAGTGTTGACAGCTCTCACCCAGGCCTCGGGAGTAGGACCCTTAGCTACGGGGTCCTGTTACATAGTTACACATGTAGCTCTTACATACACCTGGATGCCAGGGCCCTTGGCTCTACAATGTTACCACCCTTGCTGGTTCCCAGCCTTGACAGCAGCCCGTATTCCAGCTCCTGAACCTACGGAGTCTGAGACTCTCAAGTCCTGACAGCTCCTGGGAGTCTTCCAGTAACCAGGTCCTATGATTTCTCTTTTCAGGCTTGCTTTCTCCAGCCTTGGTCCCGACTCTCTGTGTTTGTCATCCTTGTCCCTGGGCTGGCCATGCTCTCCCACTGTCCAGCGGCTTCTCCTTCGGCTGCCAAGCAGCTGGCTGTCTTGCTGCTTTTGCAGCTCAGCCTTCTGAGTGCTCAGCTTAGGCTGTTGTTGCTGCTCTCCTGTCCCCACCCGACGCTGCTGGCTTCCTGCTTCCTGCTCAGCCTGTACCTCTAAAAGTAGGCAACACAAGGCCACTAAAGAACGCTTCTTCTTGGGCCTCATGTTGGGACCCCAAGGGAGGCAGCATGCTGTGGGAGAGGGATCCTCTCACTGAGTGAGCTTAACAGTCTGTTTATATAGTCAGAGAAGGGGTGTCAAACCAATCACAGAAAAAAGCGCCACAAGCAAGTGAAGGTTTGTGTTTTTACCAGTCACGGGTCCCCCTGCTGGGCCACCAGGTGGGAGTGCCCTTCATCTGGCCTAACTAAAATGGCTGTCAGTTACCTAGAGTTCCACCAGGCTTGTGATAGCAAGGAGTCTGTTATGGACTGCGTGAAACAACCCTGGCTGAGGTTGCACCTTCAAGAGCCAAAGCAGCCGGGCAGTGGTGGCGCACGCCTTTAATCCCAGCACTCGGGAGGCAGAGGCAGGTGGATCTCTGTGAGTTCTAGGCCAGCCTGGTCTACAGAGTGAGTTCCAGGACAGCCTCCAAAACAATACAAAGAAACCCTGTCTCAAAAAACCAAAAAAAAAAAAAAAAAAAAAAAAAAAGCCAAAGCAATGGGTTGCAATAGCTGGGTAGTTTTCTAAGGCTCCTGGGCAATGTTCAGAATGGCTGATGCAGCCATAAGGTGGTCAGCTGACCCTCTTTCTGCCTGAGAGAGCCAGGACAGCCCAACCAAGGTTTGTTATGGCATCCAATTGCCCTACCTGGCAAATGCCTTTGCCTATCTATCAGAAGTGATCATCAGAAGGAGTACTTAAGAACGTAACAAATCTTTGATAAAAGTTTAACAGTTCTCAGCACCTGCCCGGTGTACCAGGGAGAAGTGGGTTTCTTTTGTTTGTCTTACATCACACCGTCCCCCCCAACCCCTGATCCTCTGCTCTTACATCTATTAAATGGGCCAGTATATAGACAATACACATTTGATCATAGCTGAAGCCCGAGGAGCAGCTATGGACAGTTTGTATAGCACCTAAGACAGTGCAGGTGCTCGACAAAAAGTGGTTAAGTTTACTAATAGAATACTGGCTCAGCCATCTCACTTAACTAGAGCTCACGGTACTGGTTGGTTTTACGTCAACTTGACACAAGCTGGAGTCATTCTGGAGGAGGGAACTGGACATGGAAACCTGGCCCCATCAGACTGGCCTGTGATGCATTTTCTTTATCGATGATACATGGGGGAGGGCCCGGCTCACTTGGGCAGTGCTACCCTGGGTCGGTGGTCCTGGGTTCTCTGAGAAAGCAGCTTGACCAAGCCATGAGGAGCAAGCCAGCAGAGAAGCATTCTTCCATGACCTCTGCTTCAGCTCCTGCCCCTACTTCCCTGGATGATGGATTTAAAAGCTGTAAGGTGAAATAAACCCTTTCCTCCCCAAGTTACCTTTGGTCATGATATTTTATCATAGCAATAGAAACCCTAAGTAAGACATTTACCAAAGAAAAATACAAGCAACTAAATAAATTTCTTGCTGTATTGGTAAAAGGGTAGCTGATGGAATGTATGGTGACACATAGGACTTTGTAGCCGAAAGGAACCAGGTAAATCTACCCCAGCCATACTGGACAACGGCACGTTTGGAGTCAACACTGGCTAACGCCAATAGTCAACCCAGTTTAACACATACACTGCCATGCCCACACGGGATCCAGAAGTGGCTAAGACACCCAGCTCCCTCATTCCTGCGGCTTTGTTGTGGGGATACAGAGAGGCCATAAAAATAGGGTTTTCAGCCCTTGATCTCCCCAAGGCCTCTTCCACCCTCCTGGGCAGTCACGCTTCAAAAGAGCAAGACTTCTGTTTTGTCACACCTCATGCCTGTTTCCTCATGTCTCTTCCTGTTTGCTTGATGTATTATAAGCAAGCGCGTGTGAGATTGTGGGTCCTGTGTGCACACGCCACGGTGTGTCCATGGAGGTCAGAAGACAGTATGCACGTGTGAGATTGTGGGTCCTGTGTGTACACGCCACAGTGTGTCCACGGAGGTCAGAAGACAGTATGCACGTGTGAGATTGTGGGTCCTGTGTGTACACGCCACAGTGTGTCCACGGAGGTCAGAAGACAACTTTTGTAGTCTGTTCCCTCCCACCTTCATGCAGGCTCCAGGGTATGAACTCAGTGAGGCTTGCAAGGCAAGCGCTGTACCTCTGAGCCGTCCTCCCGCCCCTCATGCTTCTTACCCTGGTCCTCCCTGCTGCACTAGACCCCAACCTCCACACACTTTCCCTCCAGGCTTCTGGGACCCCCAGCTGATACCCTCTTCTCTCCCGGTCTTGTGCTCTGGCTCCTCCTCCTGGCTCCACAAAGGTGAGCGGCTTCAAAACTATCTTCAAAACTATCTCCTGTCCTCCGGTTCCCTGGGGCCCTGTCTCATGGCTTCAATTACTCTCTATCCTAGAACATTGAATGAGCTCGTGTCCCCTCAAAATGTTCGTAAGTACTTCAGAATGTGACCTCGTTGGAAATAGGGCCGCTGAAGATTTAATGGGACTTAAAGTGGAGTGGGAGAGGCCGTATCCAATAGGACCTGTGTCCTTATGAAAAGATGGAAGGTGTCTTCCTTTCTTCCCTATTGCTGTGATACAACACCATGAGCATTTGATTTGCTTTCAGTTTCAGAGTTTAGAGTCCGTGAGGGTGGCGCGGGGCCCACATCTTGCTTGATCTGCAACCATGAGGCAGAGAGAAAGCTCTGAGAACTCTAGAGCTCTACAAACCTTTTGAAACCTCAAAGCCACCCCCAGTGACACATCTCTCCTCCAACAAGGTCATACTTCCTAATCTTTTCCAAACAGTTGCGACAACGGGGGATGAAGCTTTCAGACCTACAAGCCTATGGGAGGTGTCCTCATTCAAACCACCACAGACAGTGACGCAGGACAGGAGGACCACGTGTGACAACAGAAGCAGCCTGGACTGACACAGTCCAGCAAGCCGAAGTGGGTCCAGTTACTTACATGATGGTGCAGGCGTCCACTCCATCCCTGGGTCACGTGTGCCCGGGGACAGCTATGGACCCAGCCCAACGCAAAATCACAAACTTGGGGGCTGGAGAGACGGCTCAGAGGTTAAGAGTACTTGCTACTCTTCCAGAGGTCCTGAGTTCAATTCCCAGCAACCACATGATGGCTCACAACCATCTGTAATG